GCAAACTTGAAAAATTATTGTTTGGAAGTGAGCTGTGTTTGAACGATTTTACCTTTGACGCCGAAAAAGACGCACGTGTTATGTGTTTCATGCTGTATTTCATAACCATAAATTGTTAAAATGCTAAATATAATATTTTAGCTTATTTTGGCCTAAAATATTACAAAATAATGAAAAAAGTATGAAAAATATATTTAATAGAAATTCTCCGTCAATGGGTTAAGAAAATTACTTAAGGCAATTTTCTTATAGGCCTTATTTTCCTTACTTATTATTATTATTTTATAAAGTTAAGCGTTTTTTTAACAACTCTTTTGTGGGACCACGGAGGGTTCCATAATTTCGTAATCAACAACATAATGTGGTAAGCGTTGCGCACCGGCTACATTTACTATTCAGACTAGCTGGATGGGTTTCAAGTCACCGACGAGGAGAGACCTCAGTGTCTTAACCAATACGACATCGTGGTCCATTCCTTTTGTACTTTTTAAATTAAAGCACTCTTTTTCTGGTGCTTGCACCCTGTCCAGAAGTCAATCTCCAATGACCGACAAAATCATGTTCATTATTTTTATTAGGTTGTTTAAAAAGTTCTGCATCACCCTTGCAGCATCCCTTGCTGAAAGATCACGCTTATAGCAATAACGAATCAAAATCAGAAGTTCAGTTTTATCCAAAGTCATTTAGAGCTTATTGATGAAAGTTTAAACTAAGAACACTAAAAAAAACAACAATACAAAATGAAAATTCATAAAAGTTGAAGTTTTCGCAAAGTGTTGCAGAACTTTTTTTAACAACCTAATAGCAGTGGTACTAAATAAGCTTTGTTTTCATACCAAATTACATTTAAATCATCTAAATAACTATTCTCTCTTTCTTCTTTAGATTGATAATGAAAGAAAAATAGTCCGTTAATAGTTACCAACCAAACCCATTATTGAGAAAAGATGGGAATTTGTTGTCACTCTAAAGCAATTACAGAACCGCAATCGCCAGCTGTTGCATTTACTAAAAATGAAAGATCTGCGTCAGAGTCACCAGATAGTAAGTAAATCGCTTTTAAAATTTTTCCTCAATCGGATCTTCAGGTGATGAAAATAATCAGTTTTTATAAATTTGAAACTGAAACCCTTTATTTATAAGATAATCCACAGATTTCTAGATTTGTTGCTAGATATCTAATATTCATGCAGTTCGACAGACCAGGGTGGGCCTTGGCCTTCTCAAGTAGTTTTTCCAGGCTAACCTTTTTTTTGCTAGTTTTTTCCAAGTTTTAGTTTTTAAGACCAAAAGGTCTTTCTCTAGGCCATCTATCCATCTCAAATTCGGCCTGCCTCTTTTTCGTGTGCCAACTGGTCGGGCATTGAAAACTCTTTTTGTGTTACGGTCTTCGTCCATTCTGATAACGTGGCCTGTCCATTTTATTCTTTGTCGTTTAATAGAGTTAATAATGTCAGGTTAAGTAATAAAGCTCCAGATTTGATCTTCTAAGCCACACACCATTTTAGGTCTTTAACATTAAATTTATTTTCAATTTAATTTTTTAAGTTTAATTTCAAGTGTTTCTTTGGAATAGTTGCAGCGTCTCTCTATAAATGTTAATTTTCTGTACTTATTTTTTTTTCTTTTTAATTCCCGATTTTCTATTGGGGGGAAAATAAACATTTTGCCCTGATACGATGCCTTTACCTTAATTATTTTATATTAAAAAGAAACAATTAATTAAAAAATAATAAATTTAAAAATAATTACGCCAGAAATATAAAGTTAACCGCTGCATATGAAAAGTTGTTTTCAATTGAAATTTTTAAAAATGTGTCATCATTTGCAGTTGTACGTTGCGAATAGTAAATGTATTTACAATGTACATATGTAGCATTTCGTTAACAGAGTAACTTATCTGAAATAGTGCATATCTATATCACTCATCATCATCATAGTTGGATAGGCAGCATAACGTGAGCCAATGCCTTCCTCTGAAGATTTCTCCATGAAGACTTCCGATTTATCTTCGATCTTCAATTCTTTTCATTAATTGCAAGAAAATCAGACTCCACTGAATCAGCCCATCTCAACCGCGGCTTTCCCCGATTTCTTGTTCTAGTGGGTCTAACAACAAATGCAGAGCCTTGGCTCTATAGAGAGACAGAAAGTTCCAGCTTCCAATTCTCATATCCAAATTTCGTTTTCCAAATCGTTTCCATTAAGTCATCCGGGATTTTTTCTTCTGAGGATTTCGTAAGAAGAAATTTTTACAGGATAGAGGTGTCAACCCTATGCCCAACCCCCAACCTGGAGGACCAGCCCCCTGATATAATCCCCAGAGTCAAGGTGCCCGGTTATACCCCCAGACACTGGGTACCCATTTTAGTCGCCTTTTATGACATGCATGACCATTGGGACTATTTTTTCCCACCCGGTCACCACACGGATGTATATAGTGTGGCTTTGAGGAGAACTCCACCAGACTGGAAGTCTGGGGCTGTCTGCTGCTATGGTAACAAGTGAGAGCACATTTCTAATGGGTGTGAAATGAAGGAAAGAAGGTGTCGATTGGTTTATTCACGACGACCTACGCACTATTCACCCCACACCCCTATTCGAAGTGACCTTTCCTCGTAACCATAGTACCCGCCATGACGCGAGACGAGTATCTGGAGGAGTTCCTGAAAGCCGCCCTATATCTATATCACTGCTTTTATCCAATTTGTATTCCTAAAAAATTTTTAATTTAACGATGTTTTCATTTACAGATATGATTTTATGATTTTCGCTGCTAACCAAATGATATTTTTTTTTTTAAAAAAATCGGAATTAAAGTATTTAGATTCTGTTCTCTAAACATTTTGAAACTTTCCTTGAATGATGTCCTGGATGCTAGAATTGACGAGCGATATCGAGTCCAAAACGTAAAACTGTAAAAGCTAAAAGAAACAAAAAAAGAACTAAGTATGACTTATTAGGATGCCTCTTTTCTTCCATCTAAATTCAACCATCAAAAGGGAGTAAACGGAAGGGGGATTCTAAATTTGTTTTTTCACTTTTTTATTTAATTTTTACAAATAAACTGACGATGGATATAGATATCTATTCTATCCGCCAGTATCTTTCGAAACGTTTTGATAAGAATGGAGGAAAAAAAATTAACTGGCATTATTATGACACTCTATTTGATTTCTTTTTTCTGTCAAAATTATACCAATACAATTCTCAAATCAACATTTTTGAAACATAGTTTAGTATTACACAGTTGCCTGTTTTTAAATATATAATGAGCAATTTAAGTCAGATGAATTTTTAAGCATCTTCAAAATCGGTTTTCATTACTTTAAACAATAAAAAAGAATACATTTTGAAATATCTAAAAACGAACAAATGTGTAGTTTTAAACTACTGACTCAAAACCACAAATCACATATTTATCTTGCTTTACACTTTTGAGAAAAATTTCATAGAAGTTACACAAATTATCATTTCTCCTAATCAAATAATTTTTCTATTTTTTCCATTTTTTTTAAAAAGTCTGAGACTTTTGAATAATAAGTACCCTATCATCAAAAGTTTTTTACAAGCGAAAATTTGTCAAGAAAATGAAAATCAAAAATTCAACGTGAAATCCAAGATAACGAGTGAAAAAAAACCACAGATTTTTTCTTTCTTTCTGATTCCAGAATTTATGTAAAATAATACCATACCTATTTTTTTTTCCTTCCAGCTAGATGGGCTATCGCTCTATATTCTTTGGAGACAAAAGATGAAGCTATACTGCGCTTTTCCAAAGGAGATAAGCTGATCATTGAAGATGATAGGTAAACCAATACTCAAACACATTGTACAATCGCTTAAGCTCATACAACCATGTGGGGGATATAAAATCTCCGCACAAGAAGATTATCAATTATCAGCTCTGCACAAAACATACTATACAAAAATCATGCAAAACTAAGATACTGCATACAGAATAAGCTAAACTAATGTCCAATCTCATACAACACAAAAGCTATCGTGACTACCATTTTATAACCGTAGTTGAACAGCCTACCCAATTTCGGGTTTACGACTACAAATGTTCAACTCCGTAGCCTTGTAATTTTTAACCCAATCCGGAAGACAAGGAAACTCCTGGATCAAGTATTGGGAGAAATTTGCCATCGTGGAGAACTTTTTAATGGAACCAGCCCTCATTTGCGTTACGTGGAGAGGAAGACCAATATAACCTTCCACTGTTTGCCTGACGGAAAGGGGACTCTTAACCCATGATCCGTCTACCACTGAGGATATTTCACGTCAGCACTGTGGTCGGTGCAAGCCGGATGCGAAATTCGTATTGACCAGCCATCTCTGGGATTCGAACCCGTCTCACCTCATTGCAAGGCGAACGCTCTATCCCCTGCGCCATCACAATATGGCTATCGTAAGAGACATTTTGCATGCAGTGTTCTCTTGTTGATGTCGCTAATTAGTGAATTTTTCGTCCCGTTCGTGACCTTGTTTAAGCATAATATGTATCTATAGTTTGTATAAGCTAAGAACTCTTCCTGCCACAAAGTCTGAGGCAGTCTGGTGCTATGGAAACAAGAATGGCCCATTTTAGGGAGGGTAGCTTTACTCTAGGATTAACACAATAGACCAATGAAAGAGATTCAAATTCTCTCGCCGACCCGAGAAGAAACCACACCAAAACAGTGACCCCGCACCCCTATTTGAAATAGTCATACCTCGTTACCATAGTCACCGCCACAGGTCGAGACGAATGTCTGGGAGAGTTCTTATTTTAGACAAACTATATAGGTTTCTTTTATTTGTGAAACTAATTGAGAACGTTAATGTTTTTGCAGTGACCCCGACTGGTTCTTAGTACGTCATAAAAAGACACACAAGAGAGGATTTGCTCCAAAAACCTATTTAATATTAGATACAATAGCTGGTGAAGAGGAGTAAGTACAAGTAATGATACTTATACTATTCTTTAAAAGTAATATGGCAAATTTTAAATTTAAACACTTCTGCACTACTATTTTATCATTTGCTTGTTTCGCTATCCAAAAAACGGTTTATTTATAACTGTACAACAACTACTTTATGCTTATAACTTTAAAACCCTGCCCATGTAGATAGCCTAGAATACTGCTAACTAGCCGAGAATACACATATTTTGCTTTCGAAAAAACTATGTACGATTAAATGCAATAAAATAAAAAGGACATTCTTATTGAAAAATCTAATTCTTTTTCCATGTAATGATAAAGGAAAAGCAACATAAGCATTGACAAGTATTCCAGCGTAATTCCAGTTGTATAGTATAATTATAAGTAAAATTTTTATATAATAAAGTAGTATAATATGTTATACTAGCTGGTAGCGGCGTCTTCATTGAAAAATCTGGGCAAAATTACTCCATCTGTCTACGTAATACTGATTTCACTTCAGTCTTCAGAAGTGAATTAATCGCAATTGAGCAGGGCATCGATGCTATAATCAACGAGAGTGACTTTGGAGATCTTTGGATCCTGTCGGACAGTCGCAGCTCCCTTCAACACCTACACAATTGGACTAAAATTGGAGACAAAACAGGCATCTCCATCCTTCTTAAACTTCAACTTATTTCAAAGTACCACGACATTCATCTTCAGTGGATACCATCCCACGTTGACATCTTTGGCAATGAGCAAGCGGATCGCTTGGCCAAGGAGGGCTGTAGTCATTCAACACCTTCGTCCTCAACCCTTACCTACTCAGAGAATCAGTCCAAAATCAAAAGCCATCTATCAAAAAAGTGGAGGATCCCCCACTCTCATAACTGGTATGCGGCCAAGGAACCGGGCTCTTCACTTGTTCGTATAGGTGATAGAGCGTCTCAAACAGCAATTGCCATATTAGCAAGTGGACACACGAATAGTCTCTCATACTTCGAAGGAAGAAAGACTTATGCAGTCTGCTCCAAATGTGAAGCCCAACAGGCCTCTGCCGAACATATCCTTGACTGCTTGGGCCTTTCCAAGGAGGACTTATACGCTACTCCACTTGTTGTCATCGACTTTTTGAGGGTCAACAACCTATTGTATCTTGTCTGACTCCGTCAGACAATTGGAGGATAAGAAACAACAACAGCAACAATATGTTATACGTTTGTATAAACAAACGAGATGGCTTACATTATTTCTCTGCTAAAGCTGAACTGAATGTTTTGAGAACGTGAGTTGAATTACACAAGAGCTATATTTTCTATAGATTGAACCAAAACAAAAAACTTGTTGGGTGCAGGTATACCTGGAATCGTAAGGCTCTTGTTTATTTAAAAAAATTATTAAAGAAAAAAAAAGGCTGACACCTTGATGGAACTTTGCTAAGTTAGCAAAAGATGCATGTAGACATTTGCACACAACCAAGTTACTTAAGCACCAAATTAGATTCAATTTTCATAATACTTTACTGTTTCAAATTAGTCTAGCGAACGTCTTTTCTAATTCTTGTTATAAGTAATTTAACTTTTCCTTTTATTCCTTTCTCTTTCCTAGCTTTTTTTTCTATCGGAACTTGTTTACCCAACCTCGTTACAATTTGTAAGTTAGAAAATTCTAAAAACACGTTGCGTTATTTATAATAAATATATTTAAAACGAAACAAGTACTATCCGAAGCAAATTGATGTTTTCAATCGAATAGTAATAGCTTTATTTATTTATTTACTTAACTTTCATTTTTGTCAATTATTATTTTTCAAATTAATGCAACATTCATTGGCCAAATGTGATTCCGTTTGATTCAGAAAAAACTAAGACATTTATCAAAACTCTAAAAACAGACTAATTCGTAACACCTTTTTCAATACAGGGTTATTCATAATTCCCTCCGGGGTTTCGAAGAGTTATAGTAAAAAATCGAAGACAAATATGGCAAAAAAGAACATATGAAATTATTCCGAAAGTATTCAAGTTTTAATTTAAGCAGTTGCCGGTAGATGGCAGTAACATGTACCACTGAAGCCAGTTGTAGTAAACATAAGGTTGTAGTAAACAGAGGGAATTATGAATGACCCTGTACAGACATGCAAAGCTCTCTCTAACTGGTTAATAAAATTTTAAATTTTCAGATGGTTTTTCGGTGAAGTAGTAAGAGCAGACGCCGAAAGACTGCTATTGCAGCCAGAAAATGCTTCAGGCACTTTTATGGTTAGAAACAGCCGCATACCAGGTATTATTAAACTTAATGCATTTACGACCAAACTTGCATTATTTTATTTCATTTCTATTACTTTCTTATTTACCAATAGTTTCAAATTTTTTGATTAGAAAAGTATGCAAATTTTCTCACCATTTTAAATAATATAATTTTAAATGAAAGGATATAAAATTTGAACGAAATCTGTCGAATAGTGCTTTAGAAATGAAAGTTTACAAATGCAACTTTTTTGAGATTTTATTACTCAGAATCTATTCTCGCGAATTTTGTACTTTGACATCTAAAATTACATAGTTTTAAATGGGGTAAGACCTTCTAATGCAAATTTTTTTCGCATTTATTAAAGCAAATAATTATTAAAATTCATATTTTGTAAGAAATTATCTATAGATAAACTAGTTTTATTACTGTGAGCAAAAAATGTTTTATTCTTTAAAAACTTTCCGAGTTATAATGAAAAACGCAAAAAGTGAAATTCACATTAAGGGGCCAAAACTTTCAACCACTCTCCACACTAAACTATTAGGGCCATAGTTCCGCCCCTATCCCCCGAAGGGGCATGTGTACAAGCGCACTGTTTCAGATTGCAATTTCCCCCATTGATGATTAAAAATCAAAATACGTCGATAATAGGGTATGTTTATTAAGAGAAAATGGGCTTTCATTGTCTGTTTCAGTATTTAATTAACAATTAGCACTAATTAATTTATATACTGGAGATTTTCCTTTAGAGTTATTAAGATTGAGAATTAGTTTGCGAAAATCCGATTATTAGAACCGAAGTTTTTTGGGTGAAATCTTTTTTATTTTACACTCTGTACAAAAATAAAACAGAATCTTAATGTTATTTTTCTTTCATGGCCCAAATAAATACAAACGCTTTAAGAGATTGTTCGCAATAAATTTCAATAAAAATATGTTTCAGTTGGTTAATAAAATACTTATCATATATTGGCATTTGAAGAAATATCATAACAATAAATTTACAACAAAAAATATATATAAAAACAATAAATTAGTAAATTATTAAGCTTGGAACACAACAAATTTTTAACTCATATATTGAAAATCATGTTTAGTAACAACAATTACTTAAAATGCATTATAAATAAACACATACTTGTTCAATAATTCAATAAACATGAAATACTGGGTTCCTTAATGACCGCCTTTAATATATATTTTTAGAATCCTAGATCAAAAATAAAGTTTTAAAACCTTACGCCTTAAAACCAGTTTATTTGTCAGAAGAAGAAAAAAAGGGATTAGGAAATTCTTACCGAGAGGAGAATTTATTTTTATTGAATGACGGGTTATAAGAAAACTCAAATTCCAAAACAAAACTAATCACTTAAAAACCAACAGCTCTGTTGTTCTAAAAAATGTCTTCTAATTTTATCGTCTGCTTTTATTTATTGAGTATAGCAAAATGCGGCGTGCTCTCTGCTTTCGCTTATAGCACTGCGTTTCAATAGGTAAGGCTTAATTTGGCCTATCAAGATTTATATTTTTTATATTTATTTAACTTTTATTTATTTTTATTTATTTCTTTATGTGTTTAGTTTATTTTCATTCATGCTTTTGCCAGCCCGTTATTTTTTTAATATTTTTACTTTTATTCATGCTTTTGCTAGTCAATTATTTTTTTAATATTTTTAGACTTTATAGGGTATTGATTATGAAACTCCTTGTAATGAAACATTTATGAACTTTAATTTTAGGTGCTTATGCACTCTCCATCAAAGATATTACAGCTGACACAAATGAAATTGTCGTGAGACATTACAAAATCAAAACCTTGGACAGAGGAGGATACTTCATTTCGAAAGAATCTACTTTTGACACACTGCAGCAACTTATAGCTCATTACAAAGGTAAAAAACTTTTCTAGTCTCCTTCAGTAGTTATAAATATAAAGTGTTTTTTTAAAGTTATTTTTCTTGTAAGCTACACATTTATTAATCCATTATACTATATTTAAATAAAAAGTAATAAGCAAGTAGTTGCTTTTACCTTTTTGCAGTTGTTAAATCTTAATTTTTCCTTTTCTGAAAGAGTGGGAGATTTCTAATCAGAAAGGAAAGGAAAAATCATTCAAAATTTGTTAATTCAACTTGTTAATTAATAAAATCTTCACCTATTTTAGACTATTTGATTGACCTGTTGCCCAACAGACACTTAAGTCTTAAGTTCACTGCGTAATTTTAGTTCAATGTGTGTTTACTAACATATTGGAAACGTAATAGTACAGACTGGTTATGTTGAAGTTACTGAGAAAATCCGAAATGTGTGGACTGCTGAGAATGGTTCAAAAAGTTAATTTTAATTTTAGTAGTTAATTTTTTTTAAAAATTTTATAAACATCGTTGAATAGTTAACCCAATTTTGTGCTTACAGCTGCTAACGCTCAACTCCGTAGCTTTGTAATTTTGAACTAAATCCAGAAGACGAGGGAACTCCTGGATCAAGTATTGGGAGAAATTTGCCTTCGTGGAGGAGTTTTTGATGGAATTAATCCGCATTTGCGTTACAGGGAAAGGAAAACCTCCCACGATTAATCTGACACTGCACGGTGACTCTAACCCATGATCAGTCTACCACTGAGGATATTTTACCTCAGTACCGTGGTCTGTGCGAACCAGGTGTGGAGTTCGTATCGACCAGCCATTGAGATACGAACCCGGGTCACCTCGCTGGGAGGTGAGAACTCTATCTCCTAAGTCTCCACTTCTCAACTATGTTTAATGTCCGAAACACTTTTTCAATGTCATTAATTCTCACTTAAGTAGGTAATATCAACGTTCGTTATGCACTAATGGTAAATATTGTATGCCATCACCCATATACACTGTCATCACTGAATACCGAATCACCGAAGTCGAGTATCTCAGACTACGGATGATAACTTGGAGAATGATAACGGATGATAACTTGGATCACTGAGGATGATAACTTGGATCAAACTGAGAACTGATAGAGGGCGTGCAGTATTGATCCTCGTTAAACTGTTCTGCTGTCAATTGCTCGACTTCACAACCAGTTCGTTGGACTAGGAAAGTGGAGGAACCATCTTCTCTGTAGAGGATCAAATTTGTGATGGCATGTCTTCAAATCATCCCTGGGAATGTTTCCTAAACCGTCGTTAATAGCCCATTGTGCAGCTCTAGTACGACGTAAGTAAATGACTACTACTACTACATGAACAACATTTGAATATCTGCGCCAATTACGCAACGTTTCTTGTCTACAATTTGCTACAAATTTTCGGACGATACTGCAACATTTTTCCTTTCTCTGCAATCTCACATGAAATTTACAAGAAAAAGGGTTTTATTGCAATTTATCTACATTATTACAAAAACTGCATCGTTTCATAAAATTTGCCTTTTTATTTTTTCAAAAGAAAAAAAAATTAAAGGAGCGAATTTTAAAAAAAGTACACAATGCCAACTTAGATCTTGTTAATCTCAGAGCTCTACCTAAGCTTCTCAAAGAGCTTAAAATATTTTATTAATAATTTATTTTTTCTGTTTAAATTTGCAGGGTTAAAACATTCAAATCTAATTGGAAGGAAAAACCACATATTTTTTAAATGCTGATTTTTTAAAACAAGAAGCTTCCGATATTTTTTTGCTATCATCGACATAAAATTAATAAAATTTGCCTGCAAATTATTTATCTTTAACTTAACGGCATTTTCCAGAAATATTTATTTATGATCCCTTCTTAATATTATTCTCTGTGATTATTTTGTATTTGATTTTGATTATAATTTAAAATTAAAGCTTCATATCTATAAGTGTTGTTCCTTTATTTATTACATTATAAAGAAATCAGACGATATTACCTTTTTCTTCATCATTTTATTGCATTCAGTCAACGCATTAATAAATACAAAAAAATTTAAAATTCTAAAACAACTTTTCTCACTGTTGCTCACTAACCTCTTTGACCAAAAAAAATTCATAAGTTTTGATTGTAACCAAAAATTCAATAAGAATTTAAAAAAACATACTCGTATATGAAGTTATGGCAACCCGGCAAAATATTAAGATTACACCAATAGAATGAGAAATTAAATATCTAGAACCAAATCTATGTTAATACAAAAATCTTTTACTTATATACAAACTTTTATATTCTAGTAAAATGTCATTAGCGAATTAACGTGCCGCTATACTTGAGCAAATTTGGAATTTACATACACATACATAATCCTCTTCAGTCCGAATTGGAGCATGAGGCTTTTATTATAGCTTTCCATTTCACTCTATTATTGCTTTCGTAGGCCATTAAGTCAACGGGGATGTGATTGTTCTTGTTTTCCAGTGGCGTCATCTATGGCCAAGAATTTGCCAAGGTATGGCGGACCCATTCATATATCCATTCATCCGCAGAACATAATTTTGACTTGAACCACAGAGCGATCAATTTCCAATTCTGTACCCCCAGAGATATAATTTGTTATGGGAACATGGATGACTTTATGATCCGACAGATTTAACGTGTACCAGTCACCATTCACTACATGGGAAGTCTTCGGCCGGCTGGTTTCGAACTCCCGTTCTCATGAACGTGAGTCCAGAGCCTCTCCAACCAGGCTACCTGGCCATCTCATTCTAATTCTGGCCAGATACTTTGCCTCTCTCCATGTCTTTCCTATTGCTTTCAATTCGTCTACAGTGGTCAGCTGTTCAACTTAGGTCAGCTTAGCTACTTAGGTCAGCTGTTCAACGACGGTTATAAAATAAAATTCGTTTACAAACATAATACGCCAAGTGTTTTTTGGTTCTCCTCTTTTTCTTTTGCCCTGAGGGTTCCAATTAAAAACTTGTTTCACTTTAAATTTTCCAGGTTTGCGTAGAACATAACCAATCCATTTACGTTTCTTTACTTTCCAGATCTATCGGTTTCTGTTTTGCTTTTTAAAAGATTTCTGCACTACAAATTTCATAGAACCACTCGATACGCAAAATCGATAGATATATTAATGTCGATAGATATACTAAATAGATTAAACAGGACCCGAAGAAGTTATGCTTTACAATAAATTTGGAAAAACAAAATTTTGAAATTAGAATCAAGCATCTCTATGCATATATGCATGTATAGAAAATCCTAACTCTCGGGGACAGTGTTTACTTTTTTTTTCCCCCGACAGTATGAATACTTTTTTAACGAAGTCAGACAAAGACTAACATTTAAAGTTTTACTTTTACAGTAAGTGCGAATGGATTATGCAGGAAACTGGAAAAGGCTTGCCTGAGACCAAGACCTGTTATAACTGGGCCTTTACCGGATAATCGAGATGAATATGAAATTCCATTTAACAGCTTGACATTCATTCGACAGCTTGGAAAAGGAAACTTCGGAGAAGTATTTTTTGGTAAGATTCGACATGATTCGTGCGCAATGTATGCTTAACTGTTAACATACCTGAAAATTATATTCTTCAGATGCTTATAGTGATTAAAAAGTCTCACAATAGTCCAACTTCTCGAGAAATCTAAGTCAAAAATTCTGTGCATAAATACTTTTAACAAATTCATATCGAACTCCAAAATTGAAAAACTTTGAAATCAATAGTTTTTTTTTTAAAGAAAAATAATTCTATGACAATAAAAGTATATGTCTTTTCTTCCATTTAAATAGGAGAAAATGTCGTAAGGTAGTAGATTCGGTAATTTACGTCCAGTTACTTAAGGCGGTTAAAAACGCAACCCACGGAATTCACGATTTTTTTATGCAATGAATACAGCGTTATCCAACCGGGGTCGGGGGGGGGGACGAGAATAAATTCTTTTATACGATCCCCACCGGTGGCCCATCAAGCCATATATTAAAAACACATAACTATTATATTAAAAACAATATATTAAAATATTAAAAACAAAATATATTAAAAACAAAATTAAGACATATTAAAAACCAAATATATAAAAAACAAAATATATTAAAAACAAAATACATTAAAATATATTAAAAACAAATTATATTAAAAGAAAAAAACTCTCTCTGTAACCCGTATTTGCATTACAGGGAGAGGAAAACAACAAAAACCTCTGACAGTCAGCCTGACGGCAAGGGAATTCTAATCCATGATCCGTCTACCACACTAAGGGCATTTTACGTCAGCACTGTGGTTGGTGCGAGCCGGGCGCAGAATTCGTATCACCCATCCAAAGTCAAAATTCGAACATGGGTCACCTTATTGGATGGCGAACGTTATATCCCCTGAGCCACAACAGCTTTGCTTAAATATTTAAAGAATTTTATGTGTGAGACAAATACTAAAACAAAATCATACAAGTTCCTAAAATAAATTCTAGTTAAGAAATGCTCGTGGCGGTCAGCAATTTCGTGACCAACTGCATGATGGTGGTAATATTTTAAGCATCGAGCACCGACTGCTTAGCTGGTACTCATTTGATCTGAAGTCACCAGGGATAGAACCTCAGTCATTCACAATATCCTCCAACCATTGTATTATCTAACTCTTGCACAGTGTGTAAAATAAAAATAAATAAATGAATTTAAAAAAAAGAAAAAGAAAACACCACAATAACTTGCGATTTAGTGAAGAGATTTTCCCGTACTTAAAAACAATTTTAATGGTTCGCGAGCCTCAACTAGATATGCTAATTAATTAGTGCAGACGATATTTTAAGTTACGATGTCAGGCACAAAAGCTTATAACTCAATGACAATAAAAATAACCTTCTTTTCGGCGAATTTGGACTTTTGGCTGTCAAATTATGAAGGGGGGGGAGTAATTGCAATTATAGAAATATATAGTAGTATATATAGTATATTAGTTGCAGTTATAGAAAACATGTTCCCAATAGTTTAGATAGGAAATCTTTCCTAAGTTTAGACACTTATTTGATGTTAGGTTCATTTTTTCAAACTTTCGATCCCTCTTCTGGCTTTCTGTCATATTTTGAGAGTCAAATCCGAAAATGGTGGGGGGGGGGGGNAGAGAAAGTATATATTTTTTAGCTCTTTTTTTTTGTAATTTAAATATCGTTTGCTGAAATTAATTTGCAATTTATCATGTTGAAATTAATTATGATCAAACGCCTCAAAATATTAAGATTGTATTCCAGTGCATGGAAATAAGATCATTAAATTAAAAATTATTCACGTGTTCCGTTTTTTTTAAAATTAGCTTGCCAAATTTTAATTGGGTCGTCAAAAATAGTGTTTTAGTTAGCTGATTACAATTCTATTTCAGGTCATTGGAATGGAACGTTAGAAGTTGCCATAAAGCGCTTAATAAATAATGGTGTTCAATCAAACGACTTCAAAAATGACTTCAAACGAGAAATCTCTGTAATGAAGGCAATTAGTCATCCCAACATTGTAAGATTATTTGCAGTCTGCACAGAAAAAGAACCTTACTGTATAGTTATGGAATATCTCTGCAATGGAAACCTGCAACAATATTTAAAAACTCATCAAGGAAAGCAATTAAGACTACCTTCTTTAGTAAACATGGCTGCTCAAGTAAGAAATTACTGAAATATTTCAGTTGTTCGAGATTATCTTTCAAACAATATTCTGTAATTTTAACCGATGCTTAATCTTTAAAAATAGTATATTCGCTTGCAAAGATAATAGTGAATTATATAATTAAAAGTAGTTCAGAAAACAACTCATGACATCTTTATTCTTTCAGATTTCAAATGGAATGAAATATCTTGAAACTGAGAAACTAATACACAGAGATCTTGCTGCTCGCAATATTTTAGTGGGTGAAGCTAGCATAGTGAAGCTAGCAGATTTCGGTTTAGCTCGAATAATGGATGAAGAAGTCTATGTAACCAGCGGTAAGCAGCCGAAATGTCAATTAAAAATCAACTTGATACTGTGAAAATAAATAAGATAAATACAAAAGAAACATCCACTTAATAAAATTTTTTAAAGCAATGTAATTAAAAAAGAGTGTAACATAAATTACACGCAGAAACGTTTAATGTAAATATGACACAATTTCTTAGAATTTTGTGACTTTTTGTACAACATATAATTTTTTTATTGTTAATATTTTCTAATAACTTGTTATGTAACCGTAATAATGCACAAAATATTAAAAATTTAATTTAAACAAATTTCTTTACACATTAGTTATTCTTTCACAATCCAGTAATTTTGAATGCTTTTGGGCAATATAAGTATATAATACTACGATTCAGTCTTTCTAGTGTTAAGTATAATCTAAAGGTCGTTGTTTTAAGGTACAAAAACGTGATTACGTTATGTGTTCTTATAAGAAATATTGTGCGGTAAGCTATTAAATGGAATTTTTTTTTATTCATGTATTTAATATTGTAAAAAAATTAAATTATTATTACTAATATAAAATCGAGGTTCCGAACGATTAATGACCCTTGACAGCGATTGACGAGGAAAAAAAAGAAAAAAAAGCTACCGAAAAGTCTCAGTTTTAGTTTTACTCTCATAAACCATTTTAAGCACTTGGTATAAACGAGACATTTTCGAATACATTTATATTTTGTTTTAACGCATTATTTTTCAAAATAATAACCTACAGATAGTTTTTATAGGGCATACTTACATAGTAAATAATAGTGTTTAAAGGACCTTGCACAACTAAAACGGTTAGCGTGTATTTTTAGTTCTTTTTAAATTGAATAATACAATATACTTTCAAAGAACTTGAGTGAAGTAGTAAATGTAATTTTCAGGAGGTAAATTACCTGTAAAATGGACTGCTCCAGAAGCATATGTATCAGGAGAATTCACGATAAAAGCAGATGTGTGGTCTTTTGGTATTGTTTTGTTCGAAATATTCACTCACGGAGAATCTCCATACCGAGGTACAGTATTTTATTTTAAAAAACAATCTTACAATTTCAAATAAATTTTTATTGATTCAGTCTGATAATCAGTGAAAGTTTAAACAAGCATTAAAAACTTTATACAGGCGGTTTTACGCAGGGACAATTTTGATCGAAAACAAAGATGCATAATTAAAAATTGCGGGCGCGTTTTTTTTTTTTTGATTGAGGTGATAGTTTTAATCAGGTTCCGATAAACCGCATTAAAAATTTAAATAATACACTGAAACCTCTCTGGAGTGAACAACTCTCTGTTCCACTGTAAAATGGTCGTTAATTGAGGTTGGTCGTTCTTAGGGGTTACCTTCATTGACTTCTAAATGTTATCTAAGTATATGAGTTTTCGCTAGTAATTTTAATTTTACTCAGTGTCATTTTCTTGGCGCGAAAATGCCAGTTGGCGTCAGGAAAACCGGATCGTTGAAGAAAATTTAGTGTCAATAAAAATGATCCCTACTGATATAATTATGAGTGAAAATAACTTTACCTATTGGGTATACTATAGCCTACGTCACAGGTTGTGTTATTCCTACTAAATTTAACCCATGAACGGCATTTTCTGCGAGCCTAACTTCAAGCCACAAATAAACAAACGAAGTGTTTGATCGTTTAAATAGCCGCTCGCCAGATTTTATTGCATTATAAAGAAAAGTAATTGATATTCGATTTTTGATTAATAATTGATTTATGTGGATAGTGGCATAGAATTTAGCATTGCGTCATGGTAAATGTTATTCCTACTAAGTGGAAGTAGTTGTGTTTTTTTTATATTATACCCAATTATGAATGATATTAAACAAATGAACAATTACATTTTTTTTTTAAAGTTTTCTTTTAATTCCATATCATAAAAATTAGTTAGCTTTAAAAAAAGACGAGACGAATTTAGTTTGCTTGAGATGTTTAGTTTTTTTTCTATAATAACTTTTTTTTTCTAATTTAACTTTGAATTCTAAAAATAAATCATTGATAATATTGTCTTTAGTGCACACTCAGTGTAATATGAGATTGTAGATCTAAATCAGAGATCGTCAAAAAGAGCTCTCTAAATAAGAACCTCACCAAATATTTTGAATACATATTTTAATCTACTTATTTGCTTTGTTAATATTTTTTGTTTCGATATGTTTTCGTGTTTCCTTATTTGACCTTTACCGCATTTGGTGTAGAGGTTTGCCTGATCTGTGGTATCGTAGTCTCTCCTTAACGTTTCTTCAACACAAAGTGTATGGAAAAAATTCCGCACCTCCCAAAAGTGATCGTAAATAGAGGTCGCTATGGTTTGTCTAAAGTAAGAGCTCCCCTATCCATTCGTTGGGACCCGTAGCGGTGACTATGGTAACAAGGTATAACTATTTAAAGTAGGGGTGGTTGCTTAGGACAGGTTTTGACTTGGGTCGGATTATACTTCAGTCCATTGTGTTAGTTTAAGAGAAGCTGCCCTCCATGAAGTGCGCTATTCTAGTTTCCATAGCAGTAGAAGGCCTCAGACACGGTGGCGGGGGGAGTTCTTACCGTAGACAAACTATACACAGAGGTGGTCTTTCCTGAAGGTTTCACTGTATAAAGTTATTTTATTTATTCTCTATTAAAAATAAATGAACCGCTATTAGGTTATAATTTTATAGCATCAATTCGTAACAATTTTTAACGTTTTATTATTTTCACCCTAAAATACACGTAATTGAGAAAAAAATATTATGAGACCTAGTTCTTTTTTCTTTGGAAATAAGCACCGTTTGATAGAGATTCTTATAATTTAGTAACTCACCGCACTGTAAAAGAAATTATACTAACATAAATTGTAAATGTTATAATTCAGAAAATGCATGCAAATAAAGCTTAATGTAAGCAATTTTCAAATTTATAATTTCTATTTTTTCAATAAAACTTTTAATCATTGGTTTTTATTATGCAATTCGTCATTCTATCATGCATAATGCAGTAATTGTGGCTTAAAAAAAGCAATACTTTGTCTCGAATAATTTCACTCGTAAAAAATGACAAAATAATCGGTCATCTGTGAACTTATTATTTTGCAAATAGCTCAAAATGTGAGTTTCAGGAAATATGCAGGCATAGCTTGAGATGACTCGTTAAAATATATATATAACACAAAAGACGAGTTAAGAAGAGGAACATAGCTTGATATGCGCGTTTGTAAAAATTGACATACTGCCAAAAATGCGCACTTAAGAAAATAGAAATAAATTGAAATGCCTAAACACAAACAAAAATGCCGACTTAAAAAATTGGATATAACTTGAAATGCCTAGACATAGCAAAAAATGCACACTTAATGAAAAGAGAAATAACTTGAAATGCCTAGAGATAGCACAAAATATGCCTGTTTAATTTTAAACATTGAGTTCCTATTTCTAACATCTACGTTACTCTAATGGGAAAAAAAAAATAATGGAAAAATACTCATTCTTGATTATGTACAGTATCACACTGAATAACTTTCGTTCAAATGATCGGATTTTCACGTACTAAGTGCCAATCTTAATGGTTACTGGGGGTGACCTCAAATATGCTAATTGTTTAGTGCTTTCTATAAATTAAGTTATGAAATCAGACACAAAAACGTACTTTCTCTAAATAAACATATATTTTTTTTTACGTATTTGGATTCCTAATCTTCAAAATATAGGGGGTAGCCGCAATCTGGGAAATGTGGTCCCCATAGTTTCATCAGGGGAGCGATTCAAAGTTTGAACCCCGTAATGTTAGTTTCACTTTTTGCGTTTTTAGTCATATTTTAAAAACTAATTAAGCAAACAAAATCAACATGAAACTTCGCTAAGTGATTTTTAAACCCCACGAATAATTCGTAACAAGTAAAATCTTGTAAACATAATATTCATTCAAAGAATTTAAAAAAAAAAAAAAAAAATAAGAAAACGGAATCAACTGTCCTGTTTAATTTAAGTCTCTTTTCTTTTCTTTTTTCTTCAAACGCACATTTCTAGCTATGTTTATTTTCTTCATTTTTTTTCAAGCGCGTGTTTTAAGCTATAATCAAAGTAAAAAGTTCAACGATGAGTTATAACAATGATTTAAAACTGAATATAAATTATATATATATATATATACTGAGGGCTTCTCACACTATTGTATTGATCTATTTTGCTTTGGCTACATTGATACAATATTAGAAAGCACTCCTTTTTGCGGATATAATCGTGTGAGCAGATTAAAAGATATANTCCAATAGCAGGTTTGCTGATATTGACAAGTGGCATGCATTAGAAACAACAACAACCGTCACCGGTTAGATTGCAAGAGAATCTTCTCTCTTCCTCTGTATCTCTCTCTCTCTCTGTATATATATATATATATATATATTGATATTGTAATAAAATTATTGAATACATATTGTATACACTGAATACATATAGTATAAAATTATCCTTTTGCAGATATGAAAAATTTTCAAGTTGTAGAAGCCTTGAAAAAAAATTACAGAATGCCAAAGCCTTCCGATCCAGAGTGCTCAGACGCTGTTTACGAGATTATGCTGCAATGTTGGAAGAAGGAGGCTGATGAAAGACCAACATTTGAATTTCTTTATCATTATTTCACCGATTATTACGTCACATCTGAAAAATCATACAGAGAAGCTTAATGAATAATATCATTTATCAAGAAACTACACTAATGAAACTATTGTTCAAAAAATTATGCATCCTACCTTATAAATTCTCATAGTAATAACCTGGAAATATACTGAAACTCTTAATCTTAAGTACAATGAGTCCCACACCAAATTGGCGACATGACAGCTGTAGTATATCCAGCATTCCATTTTTTTTATTTTGTTTATTCCACTGTGTTCTTGATCCCTCATTTACCGTTGAACTGCTTCAGAAAATTAAAAACAACCGAAACGTCATTTTGTACATAGAACTACAAATTCTGTATGCTGTTTAAATTCACAAAAAAGTAATTATGTAAATAAAAACTTCTTGACAAAAAAAAATGTGTTTTGAATACAAATAAGTATGCTTATCTATGTTGGTTTGATTAAATGAAGCACTTACAGGGTGCGTAGCCAGATTTTTCAATATAAAATAGGCACCTTTTAAGTACTTTTTAAGCACTCAAAAAATATTTTTTAATCACTTTCCAAAAACAAAACAAAAAATTATATTTAGGATTTGTACAGTAATAAAAATTATTTTGTTTCTATCGTTTAAAGTTCTTTATTTTATAATCATAAAATTCAAAAACATTTTCAAAAACTTTACATAATCATGATAACTAGTAACAACTAGTTTCTGATTGCAGAGAAAATTGTGAAAATTATGAATTTTTTTTTGTAATTTATGACAAAGAAAAAATCTCTTTTTAAAAGGTAGAAAATTAAGCACTTTTTACAAACCTCGAATGAAATAAGGACCCTTAAGGGCTTTTAAAAAACGTAAATCAAAAATAAGCACCTTTAAGTTCTTTTTAAAAACGCTACGCACCATGACTTAAGTTGCGAATGAATGGCCTGAAGTTACGAATTTGAAAACTATTTAGTTCAGAAATTTTCAATGCAGGATGAATGAGAATCAAACAATAACCATCATTGACTAACAATAACTTCCGAAAACATTATCTAAGTTATGTTGTTGCATGTGAACGTGCAAAATAAATACGCGAGGTTTGATTTTATCAAGAACAAGCGGAAAAAAAGTTAATAATACACGACAAATAAAAAATGAAGAAACACATTTAACGTATAATTGAAAATGGGAAAAACACGTTTAAATAATACTTCTCATGTGTTATTGTTAGACGTTTAAGGAATAAAACTGTTATTCTTTCTCTTTTTATTGGACACAAATTTCATCCAGCAGCTTTTGAAGTTATGTTAATATCTTCTAAATATCATTCTCTAAGTTATGATGCTTCCGTACTTGTAAAAGCAACATATGAAGTTTTATTTTATAAAGTACAAAACACGGGGAAAAAAGTCTTAATATTATATAACAAAAAATTAAGAAATACATAACTTAAAATAAATGAAAATAAGAAAAATAATTTAAATAAAACTTCTCGTGCTGTTACACGTACATGGAATAAAACTCTTAAATTTCCTTTTTTATTGGACTTACGGCATCTTATAGTCAAAACTAATAATATCATTCCCCATTACGTTAAGAAATTTTCGACTGGTAGGAATATTTTAAATTAATTGGGGTAACATGTTTATTTGATAAATTTATCTATAGTTTGTCTAAAGTAAGAACTCCCCTAGCCATTCGTCTGGACCCGAGGCGGTGACTATGGTAACGAGGTATAACTATTTCAAGCAGGGGTGTAGGATCGTTGTTTCAAACAGGTTTTCGCTCTGTTTGGTCGTCCAGAGAAAGTGAATCTTTTTCTTCGATCTATTGAGTTAGCCTTAAAGTGAAGAGAAGATACCCTCCCTGAAATGAGCTGTTCCTGTTTCCATAGCAGCAGACGGCCTCAGGCTTTGTGGTGGAAGGAAAAAAACTATATTAGAGTACCAACTAAAGTTTGTTTGGGATATTTCTATTTGCTGTAAATTTCACGCATATTCGTTGCCTAGTATAAAATTGTAATTTTATTATTAAATTTTCTCTTGTGAGTATGCAACTTACTGTATTTAAACAAGTTGAAAAATTTCCAGAAAACCATCCTGAAAATACAATAAAATAATTTATTTAAGAAAAAAACTTTGCGGATCCGTCAGCTTTCTCCCCCCCCCCCTCTAATTTTATTTTATTGATAAGTTATTTAACTGAAAATGTAGTAAATACAAGTTTTTCATTTTGTTTTGTTTTCAGCGTTTCATCAAAATTAAACTACACATTTGCACAATTCAGTAATAAATTGGATAAAAGAAATAAGTATGACAAATAAGCGAAAATGAAAAAAAACGAAATGAGAAATCTATTTACTTTATTTTCAAACATGTCTTATAATACAATGTAAAAATAACACTTTTCTCTGATTAACTATCACATATAATTTGTAAAGGCTTCTACTAATTTTTTTCTTTTTAGATAATAGCAAGACATATTCAGATTCTTCCTTTTTTTTTTTTTTACAAATATGGGTTAAAATTCTTTTTTTTTTTTGCTTCAAGACTGTAATTCAGTAGCCATAAAGGTATTAAGTAATATCATGAAAGGGAAAAAATTATTAAAAATACTGAAAATGGCAAATATTGTACAATTTTAAACAGAGGCTTCTTTCTTTATAAAACTATTTTAAAAAAATCAAGTGCTTATGTTTCAGAATAAAGTTACAAATTGAAACAATCTGCTGGGAGCTAGTAAGAATATCATTGTACAAACCATTTACTTTGAGATAAAGATTAAAAGCTAATCATAGTAAAATGAATATACAGTAGAATCTAGATTATCCAAATATAGTGACATACAATACAGTTTTATGGTGCAAAATCAATACCTTTTAAGCCTTTTTTCATTTATTTATTTCTTCTCTTGATTTAAATAGTGTGCAGCTATAATTCTGAGATATACATGAAGCCTTCAAAATGAAAAAAACTTTTTTTATTTTGAACTGCATGACTATATAGAATTTATCACTTTATAAGTGGAAAAAAAAGAAAGAAAAAAAAGAAAGAAAAAAAAGAAAAAGATTGTTCTTTTGGTTTAGTTAAAGAAACGGGAAGGTCGTAATTTTCGATATTTCCTTCATCTTTTCATTATTACTTGGCAAGCACAGCTTTTATTTCTACTAAAAAAAGTGTTCTGTGCAATGAAATAAAAGAAAATTTTGCAAAACTTAAAAAGAAGTGAAATCGAATAATAATTTAGAATTATATTATGCTTCATACACGTAGTTTATTGAAAAAAAAAGTCAATAAAAAAAAAGACTTAAGAGCAACAACACAGCTGAATTTTAATATAAAATATTTTTGTACCAATTGAACAATTACTTAATTAAACTTATAAACAATATAACACTATAATTATCAAATAACTTTTTACAGTTGACTGTAGTGTAAAATCCCAATATTTTCATTAAACAAAGGTCTTTGATTAACTACTTTGGATAATTGAGGTCCTACTGCATATAATTCAAAAAGTCACATAAAATGAGCAAATTGTTCTTAAAAAGAATAAAACAATTTTTGATAGTACAAGTATAAAAAGTATTTCGCAGCAAAACTATTATACATACTTTGATGCATTTTTTTTTAAAATCGTGAAGACCTTTCTACCCGAAAAAATATCAATGATTGTATTATGAAGATAAAAGGCAATAAAAATTGAGAATGTAATAAATGCATCATGGCAGTGTGCAGTTAAGTAAATTTCTACAAAAATGTATAATACTTTGCGTTCTTTATATATTTTGTATGAAACGCTTTCTTTTCACAACAGATGCTTATAAAATGTTAGGGAACTGTTTTATTCAATTTTAGAACTGCTAAAAATTGAGTGATCATATAAAAAGTTACACAATAAATTTTAAAGCTTAAGATGAAAAAGATAATTCCTAGACACATAAAACTACAATTTACATTGTTTAGCCATCATTCATATGCAATAAATAAGTAATAAAGCTTTTAAATAGATAATAAAAATTAAATTATATTAGCAATAATTTTTTCAGAACTGACACAAAAGAATACTATCGAAAATTATGTTGCAATTAGTATCTTGATTTAGTATGTCTGCAAATAACTGACAATGCATACTAATCAAACCATTTCATTAATATGATAAAATGGCTACTATTCATCACTTAGCTGTTTACCATATCAAACGTAAAAAGCTAAGATGATAATACTGATTAATTTTTTATGTCAACTGATTACAAGTAAATTTCAATTTTTATTCAAAAAAACCAATTTAAAATTATTAATTTTATGAAACTTTGTGAAATTTATTGTAGTCACCAACTTAGTTATGAATAATAAATAACTCATATAACATATCTTTTCTTAAAAATGGAAAACATTTTATCAGAATAATCAACAGATTTGGTTAGTATATATCATAAGAAGTGATTTTAAAATTTATTTTACAGCAATTTTATAGGGTTTTCCAGTATTTTAAAGGCTTAAGAGAAGTATTTCCCAGAGAAACGTTAATTAAAAGAGAATCTAATTTAAAAATTACTAAATTTAGTAAATATTACTACATATTTTTATTGAATTTAGAAAATAAATGAATTAAAACTTGTTCATTTTCAAAAGTCTAATAACCTCATAACTTTTAAATACTTCAAAAAGTAAATAAAAAAATTAAGAAAAATGCACCATTAAAAATATTAATGTAAACGAGATCAAAAACATAATTTAATTGAAATTTATTCATCATTATTTATTAACATGCCAGACAACCTCAGAACACTAATCTCACTAGCCTACTTAAAACGCACAATAACACACTTCTAAACTAAGCAATTTTACCAAAACACAATTTGAACTGTTTTTATCAGTAAAATTCAAGAATATCTATCAAATTCCAAACTTGTAAAAACTAGGACTAGAGCAACAGGAAATCAGAGATTATGAGTTATACTTTTCAAACTTTCGGAGATAATATAGTAGAGATAATATTTTTCATGCAAAATTGTGCAATCAAGCCATTAAATAAAAATTATTACTACATTAAGTTAGAGATTAACAGTTACAATGGAACAATACTAGGTGTGGCAAAAATTATCAACAATTCACAAAATTCTTTAAAGAAAAGTGGAAGAAGACACATATGTGCAGCGCATTCTGCTTAGTAAACCAGTTACTTTATGATCACCAAGTATTGAAATTAATTACTAAGTTTACCAAAAGATGGCGTTTGTGAACAGAAAAGGCCATTTCAAATAAAATATTTGCATGGGTGTCCTCAGATAACACCATGTTGCTGTAAATCATGGCAAATTTTAAAACATTGTTTGTAGCTTTTCTTATATAGTATTGCAGATGAATTTCAAAACATGATGAAGTATTTCTATGCAGAACACAAGGAATTGTACAATTATATCATCTCTATCGATTTCTCAAATTGTTGGCCATTTTTTAAATGATTTTAAAAAAGTAATCTCAGTCTTTAAAAACGTCATCAAATTAAGATATCAATAAGAAATTTGGCTTTCATTATACATGATAATAAAAAACAATATTGGCATTTTAGGAATGAGATATCAGACTTACTGGTGATAAAAGACAAAAAAACTCAAATTATATTATGTAATAGACTTATGTTACATTTCATTGATTGCCATGTTACATAAGTGCAATCACGTAAATTTTATTATTTATACACTATGTAAATTTTATTATTTTTTACTAGATTGTAGGGGTATTGAGTCTTACAGAAAAAACACGGCATAAAGCATACAGGTTACATTTTTTATAAGTCTTATTTTAAATAGTGCTTGGAAGTTAACAAAATATAGTTAAATTAAAAAATAAATGCATAAATAAATGACAAACAAAACCAAATTAGTTAGTTCAACCAAATCAGTTAAAAGAGTTTGTGTGAACACACCCTTGGGTACTAAAATGAACTTATGATCTTGTCTTAAATAAAAGATTTTGGGGAAGAATAAAACAATTGAGTTTCTCTATCAAACAAGATGTTTACAAAGAGGAAAATTTAAGGCAAGTAGTTTTATATATAAATAGAAAAACTTGTCTCTCTAAAAAAAAAAACAATAATTCATATAAATTGAGGTTTTAAAATATCCAGAAGATTTCTACTGATTAAAAATTTTTAGCATTAACTTTTGCAGTAAAAAATGGTATTGAACTATTAAATATACTAGAGCAAAATATTTTCTAATAAGCATCTACCATTATTCTAATATTTTGTGAAGCAAAGCATAAGAGATTTTTAATATACCAACATCTTGCTCTTTTTACACATAAACCAGCAATACAAATGAATTTTTCTAGTATCACCATCATATGAAATATAAATATAGATTTTGAAATTTAAAAAATGATAATAAAATAAAATTATTGTCAAAATATGCTTCCTTATAAATTATTTTATAATATCTTTTTTAGATTCTTTGCATGAAGTTGCTAAAACTAGAGATTTGAAGATGATCATTATACATCATTAGTTTAACTAATATCTTAAATTGAATAAGTTTTTAAAGAAATAATTGTAATTAAAATTCAAAAATATGATTATCATAGAAGTTCATAATTTTCATCTTTAATACACTACTGTAATAAATGCTGCTATAAGTAATCCAAGTCTAAAAACGTCATCAAATTAAGATATCAAGAAGAAATTTGGCTTTCATTGTACAAGATAATCAAAAACAATATTGGCATTTTAGGAATGAGATATCAGACTAACAGGTAAGAAAAGAAAAAGAAACTCAAAATACATGCATTGTAATAGACTTATGTTACATTTCATTTATTGCCATGTTACACATGTGCAATTATTTTTCCAGCTCATCATTTGTTTAATACATAAATTTGCATACACTATGTATATTTCACTAGATTTTAGAGGTATTGAGTCTTACAGAAAAAACATGGCATAAAGCATACAGGTTACATTTTTTGTAAGTCTTATTTTAAACAGTGCTTGGAAGTTAACCAAATATAGTTAAATTAAAAAAATAAATGCATAAATAAATGACAAACAAAACCAAATTAGTTTGTTAAACCAAATCAGTTAAAGGAGTTTGTGCGAACACTTGTGTACTTAAATGAACTTAGGATCTTGTCTTAAATAAAAGATTCTGGGGAAGACTAAACCAGTTGAGTTTTTCTATCAAACAAGATCGTTACAATGAGGAAAACTTGAAGCAAGTAGTTTTATATATAAATAGAAAAACTTGTTTCCGTCAAAAAACAATAATTAATATAAAATTGGCAATTAAAAAAATCCAGATTTCTCCTGATTAAAAATGTTTAGAATTAACTTTTGCAGTGAAAAATGGTATTGAATTATTTTATTGTTTCATGAATTAATAAATTGTTTAAATGATCTATTAAATATACTACAGCAAAATATTTTCTAATAAGCATTTACTATTATTCTAACATTTTGTGAAGCAAAGCATATGAGATTTTTAATATATCAATATCTTGCACTTTTACACATATATGGATTAACCAGCAATACAAATGAATTTTTCTAGTGTCACCATCATATGATATTTAAATAGATACGTTGAAATTTTAAAAATAAAATAAACTTATTGTCAAAATATGCTTACTTATAATTCATTTTATATCGTCTTTTAGATTCTGTGCATAGAGTTGCTAGAACTAGAGATTTGAAGTTGATCATTATACATCATTAGTTTAACTAATATCTTAAATTGAATAAGTTTTTAAAGAAATAATTGTAATTAAAGTTAAAAAATATGATTATCATAAAAGTTCGCCATTTTTATCTTTAATATCCCACTGTAATAAATACCTCCAATTAGAATTGATAAGAATATTAGAACTATAGTTCTCAGTTCCAATACTGCATACTCTTTGCTTCTTCACTGCCAAATAAATTTAACACAAAGTACAGATAGTTCAGGGGGAAAAAATCTAATAATAGAAAAATTTTAGAAATTACATGAAGATAATTTAACATGATCATTAATTATTAAATATACATTTTTGTTTCTTGTAACTTTTCTCTATATTAAAATAAAATAAAAAATTTTAATTTAATTTAAACAAATAAATTTACTATATTAACTAATTTTAAAATACAAAATTCATTTCCAAATAACGAAAAATTAATAAAAAAATACTTGTTTTAAAAATGCTAGTATTAAAATACAGGTACAGCAAGTCAAATTAAAACCATAAATAAATATATAATTCAAGAACATATAAAGCAATTTTGATTTTTGCACAGATAGTTGTAAAAGCTGAAAATTTCTATGAAGATATCTAATATATACATATTCTAGCTTTCAACAATATTTCAGAAAAATATGCACGTTTTATTACAGCCAATTAATTAGAAATACAATTTGTAATATCAGTTATTTAAAGGCACAATCAGAGAAAAACCTAAAAAGTAACTTTTACATACAGTACTTGCCTCAAACCAGAGGTTGCGGTTTCAAACTTTTTTGATATCAAATTCTTTTTTAAAGCCTACATAAACTGCATAGATTTATAAAATATAAGAACTTAATTAATAAAAAAAGTTGTGTCATGTGTGTAATTGTTGCTTGAAATGGTTTGGTTTCAAACCTTTGTCAAACAAAAATCTTAAAATTTCAAGGTTTTAAGATAGTACTACTTTTTTGTTTTCTTTATCATAAAAAAAGCAAAGTGCTACAAATTTTGAAGCAGGATAGCTAATAATTAAGCTATTAAAATGCCTAATTTAAAAAAAAGGAAAAATTTAAGGTCAGCGCTTTCAAGTTAATCATTTGGCACTATAATATGGAAGATAAAAAAAATTTCCCTTAAACATATCATCGTCAAAGCATTTTGCATTAGGTAGCAACTAATTATTTTTATATAAAAAACATCACACATTGACAAATATATATTTACAAGCCATTGATAAAATGCTAAAAAAAAAAAAAATCATACATAAAAACAACTCACAAAATTTTACATAGCACATACATAGCTGAATTTTACATAGCTGAAAATGCACATTATTATGGAACAGTCATAATAAAAACTTTTTCTTTTTAAATATCTAAATATTATGACATAGCCCCAGCTGGCATTTCATAAATCACATGGTTTTTCAGGACTTCAAAAATCTTCAGCATTGCGGTAACTTGGCTCTGTTGAGACAAAGTAATCATCAAAGAAACCAAAGAGGAACTCGAATGTGGGTCTTTTTTCAGGGTCCCCATCCCAGCATTCTAACATTTTGGTGTAAACAGAATCAGGACACTCGCAATTTGAAGGTTTTGGCATCCTATAACCTCGTTCAACTTGTTCTATCACTTCACGATTGTGCATGCCTTAGGTAAAAAAACAGAAGATTAAAATAATTGGGGGGTGAAGACATAAAAGTCATGTATTTTTTTTTTATAAAAATAATCAGAAACATTGATTAGAAATGACGCACTATGTAGATAAAAAATGCATTATGTGTATAAAAAAATGAACTTTTATTTTTTCATTGATGTCATTTGCTTTAAGACTACTTTTCTACAGCTTTAAGAACCTTGACTGTTTTGCTTGTTAAAGTAGCTTTTAGAATCAGATCACATAGTATTGCACAGAACAAAATACATTTTCTTACATTTGGTTACTTTTATGTAATTCCAATTTTGAAATAAATTTGAAGAAAAAAAAATATATATTGAAAACTTTAGCCCATAAAAAACAATAATATGATTGAGTTCAAAAAGGTCACTTTTACGTAGGTGGCCCATGGTTGAGATAGCCTTTTTGACAATCAAAATTTTAAAAGAAATTTGAGATTATATTAGAAAACTTGGCCCACAAATCTAAATCTCCATCATTGCATAGTACAAATTGAATATAACATATTAACCCATTGCTGACAAAAAGTATGTCACTAAAATTAATTGCAAATGAGAATCTCTACACTTGACAGAATGCAATAGCAAATTAGTCAATTTTTTGTTAAAACCAATTATAAATAGCCCTAATTAAGCTGATTTCAAATATGATTGCTTTATCGAAAGTTATGAATACTCTGAAAATAAGGTATACTTTGCATTATGAATAAAACTAAATAATGTGAATAATGCATAAATAATACCATGGTACAAGAATGGCCTCACTATAATCACAATACTTTGCTCAGTGAGAGCTGATAGAAAAAGTATACAAAGCCACCTGACACTGTGCATTACCTTTGGCTGCTTGATGTAAAGGTTATGAGAAACAGTGCCAATCTGACTAATGATCAATAAAAAGAAAACCATCAATTCTGAAAGATGCCGGTAGACGTAGTTAAAGTTGGCAATAAACAACAACCTTTCACAGTAAAAAATACAAAATGGACTAATAGGTGTTATATCCAACACTTAAAAAATAGACTACTTTTGAAATTTGAAACACATAAGCCAAAAAGGGTTTAAGTCAAAAGAGGGCTGTAATTTAATATCACATCAACCACAGTGAATAATAACAAAACAGGAAAATCCTTTTCTGGTCATTTCAAAATAGATTAATTTGTTAAATTAAAACTTCAAAACCCATTAGTCAACAAAAAAAAGAAAGAAAAAGGTTTTAGTATATTATTAAATAATAAACTGATAGAAAACGGATGAAATCAAACGTATATTGTGTGCAACGAATGCTTTAAAAATGATCGACAACAAAAAGATTAAAATATTAAACACCATGGAAAGGTACTATTATTTATAAAATTAATAATTACTAGAATTTTGAAGAATAAGCATTAGTTTGCTGATGTAAGTTGAAGTATAGCATACAGCTGTTCCATATTTAAAAATTATTAAAATTGTTTTTTGGACAAAATTACCTGGATAAGGAACTTGGCCATGAGTAATGAGTTCATAGAGTAGTATACCGTACGACCAAACATCTGACTTGATAGAAAACCTTCCTAGTAAAGCAGCTTCTGGTGCAGTCCATTTAATGGGAAACTTGGCTCCTAATATAAAAAAAATTGGTCTTTGTAACTAGATATTATATACATAACTCTGATCAAATATATGTTCAAGACATGACAGGTTTAATAGTAAATATGAAGGAAAGAAAAATTCTTCCTAAGTTCATAGATAGAGCACCAGTTATTAGCAGATATAAGCAACAAAACAGCAATAATTTAGTAGTACAGTAAGTAAAGATGCTAAATAAAAACTTGTTTTCATAATCAATACTAAATACCTAATCTGTTCAGTAGACGCTTTAAAAAAATTATTTTGCGCAGTAATCCAACACATTTTTTAAAATTTAAATATTCTATTGTTATAACATATGTAATATATAACATGATATATAATGTGTACATAATGAACGATAATCAAGATTTACTGCCTGCCAATAAAAGAGTTTGTGTATCCTTAATTAGATGCCCGTTGATAAACTCTGAAACATTAAATCAAAGACTTAGTATTAAAAAAAAACCTTATCTTAATTTTAAATTCAAACTAGATAATTTTTTTTCCTATTTAAGTGAAATTTACATAAACATTTATGTAGTTACATTACATTATAATGCAAATAATTACACAGCATTGCTACACAAATCTCAAAACTATTTTCCTAGACCTCACAGTTTGCTTATGCCATGGGCTCAAGGGCCCGGAGCCTGAGCAATTGCCTCAAAAAATAAAAAGCATTAAATTTAACATATTTCAGTCAATTAATCTTTATGTATAAGACACAACATTTGAGCATAAGCAACAGATCCAAATTATTTATACTCGGCACTTTCAATCCATTTATAATAGAAAATGGGATAAATACGCACAGATATTTAATGTAATTATGAATACTAAATGCAAAATTAACAATTTAAGAGATAGGATATTTTCAAAGTTTTTAAGCTGATTTTATGATTTCTTGTTTTTCCACTGGTGTAACAACTTTGATACATTTCCTTTACATTGCCATTTCATAAAAAAAAATATATATTGAGTGAATCCCAAGCTAGAAAATATTTTTTGTGCTTTTCAAAAATATATATTTTTTTTAAAAAAAATTGAGAGCATGCAAGAATATTTAAATTTAAAAACAAAGTTTTTTTTATTTGATGTTTATGGTTAACTGTACTAAAAATGACACATAATTTAAGGTAAATACATTTTAATAGGATATTTAAAAACTCAAACAACTGAATTATTTAAGATTTGTTCACATGACAGTATACTGCTTATGGCAATTATAGTTTAATATATTTATTATGTTTCATCCAAAACAAGTAATTCATGGTGGCATTCAAATCAAGTTTCAAATTTTCCTGATTTTTCCAGCTAAAAATCTTAACATTTCGAGGCCAGCATGTTTTTTTATCTTCTAATAAAGTGTAGGATGGGTACATGAAAAGTACCAATATTAGTAACTATAAAATATTTTATTTAAAATGTTATATTTTTAATATATCATCTTGAAAAAATAGTTAGACTAAATTAATTTTAACAAATAAGCAAGATTTTGTGTTTTATTTTTTAAATTTTTAATGTTTTGGTACTACATTAATTTTTAAAGAATTAAGATAGATGTGGAGAAAATATGCTTAGCTTATAGAATATACAGTTTCTATTGAATAAAAGTGTTTGAATGTGTTACTTTAGGGAGTTTTTGCAATAAATGCACCAAAAGGCAAATACAGAGTGACCCAGATAACCTTGGACAAGTACTGTTTAATATATTTTTATTNTTATCTATCTATCTATCGTAACTGTACTGAAAATGACACATAATTTAAGGTAAATACATTTTAATGAGATATTTAAAAATCAAACAACTGAATTATTTAAGATTTGTTCACATGACAGTATACTGCTTTTGGCAATTATAATTTAATATATTTATTATGTTTCATTCAAAATAAGTAATTCATGGTGGCATTCAAATGAAGTTTCAAATTTCCTTGATTTTTCCAAGTAAAAATCTTAAAATTTCTAGGCCAGCATGCTTTTTTTCTTCTAATAAAGTGTATGATGGGTACATGAAAAGTATCAATATTATAAAATATTTTATTTAAAATGTTATTTTTTTAATATATCATCCTGAAAAAATAGTTGGACTAAATTTATTTTAACAACTAAGCAAGATTTTGCGTTTATTTTTTAAATTTTTAATGTTTTGGTACTACATTAATTTTTAAAGAATTAAGATAGATGTGGAGAAAATATGCTTAGCTTATAGAATATACAGTTTCTATTGAATAAAAGTGTTTCAATGTGTTACTTTAGAGAGTCCTTGCAATAAATGCACCAAAAGGCAAATACAGAGTGACCCAGATAACCTTGGACAAGTACTGTTTAATATATTTTTATTAAACAAAAGAAAATAATTCTATGCAATTAGACATTAATGTATTTTTAAATTTATTTTTGCTGAGAAATTTAGCAATTTATTTAAATTTAAATATAGAGCCATCGCACAAACAGTGCTCTATACAGAATTTGTTGTTTATATTTTCTTTAAACCAATGTTTAATGTTCTAATGTGTCACTTTAGGTAGTTTTTACATGAAGTGAACCAAATGGCAAATACAGAATGATCTAAAAAACCTTGGATAAGTATTCTTTAATATATTTTCATTAAGGAAAAATATAATAATTTCAGGCAATATACATCAATAAATTTGTATAATTATTTACATTTCAATAAAGAGCCATTTTATTCTAACAGTGCTCTTTATAAAATTCATAAAGAGCAATGTCTAGCACTATAGAGATCACTATAGAACTAGAGATCACTAAAGAGAAAAACTAGATAAAATTATTCTTCTGTATTCTTTTTTCTAATTTGAAAAGGAAATACTTAAAAGAATTTCAATTTAACAGCATAGTTTTTAGTTCAGATTAGTTAAATGTTCTTGCTTTTACAACTAAAAACCTGTACAGTGCAGAACAAAAAAAAAAAAAAAACTAAGTTTTGTTTTCCTCCTTTATAAGAAACACATATGACTAAAAATTTTTTATATTCTATGTTTATACATCATTTATTATGTTTCCCATACATTCTTTAATTTTGCCAGCTTTTTAGGGTATAAGGAAAAACAGTTTCGGATATATCAGCTCTCAAGTAACATTTACAAACTTTCCACATTGTGATTAGTCAAGAAGATTGAACAAGCCAAATTTTGAATCAAAAACCAAATACGTACTTGCAAACAAAACAGTAAAATTAAATGTTAACATATAGTTGGTTCAAAAAGAATATTGTTTAAAATTAAAATATGTTATAAAAGGTCAAAATAAAATTATGCATTAGCATTAATGCAACAATTGTAATGATTTGTAGAGCAACATTGCTGTCAGCAATTGTGACAAAATGTATGATTATTTGGCTTCGCTGGAAAAAAAAAATATTCACAGATTTCATTGGATGGGAGTACAAAAGTTTTCAGAAAAAGAGTGCAATATAAAATCTATTATAAATTACAACTAACTAATTTTTAGAGAATTTTATAAAATTAAACATTTTGAATCCTTTTGTCAAAAGAAGAAAAAAAAATACCCCAAAGCATCGGAACAAGCTTGAACAATAAATGGATTCAGTCCTACAGATTAGAAGGGGGGGAAAATCCATTTTCATAATCAGAAACAAATATCTTAACCCCTTTTCCCACCTCCACCACAATCTTTGCCTTTCCTAAACTGCATAGTTTCCAAAGAGGTCAAAGGTTTCTCCATTCATTTAGTAACCATGGGAGAGTTTCATGTGGCATTCTAGTTGACCAGGGTAATAATGGAACAAATTTTGATGCAAGTAAAGTGTAGCTAGGTTGCTGGCATTTCAACTATTACGGGTCTAAAAATTTATGCCGAAAAAAAGTGGGTATAATGGATGATAAAATTAAGAAATCCGAAGAAAAAAACTCCAGCTTTTCTTTAAAATTCCCAGATAGGTTTTTATCCAAATTTCTCCGACTTTCCCAAGTTTTTCATTTTAAAAAATTCCCTGATAATTTCAGGTTTTGAAATTGTGAAAAAATTTTCACTTTTAAAATGACACACATAATATTTCAATTTCTATAAGGAAAATATTGTTTACATTAAGCAATTACATTAAGGGAAAAATCTGTGAATAAAATTTAAAGCATAGGTGTTCAAAACATTTTGTACCTTGCCGAGCTGTGTATTCAGAGTCTTCTATTATTCTAGCCAAGCCAAAATCTGCTACCTTAACAATATTATTATCACCAACTAAAATGTTTCGAGCAGCCAGATCCCTATGAATAAGCTGCTCGCGCTCCAGATATGCCATGCCACTTGCGATCTAATAAAGAGAGAGGAGAAGGAGGGAAAAAAACATTATTCAGTAATAAAACAAAGTATATAAATATATGAGAAATTAAAACGTTATGGTAATGCTCATGCATAAAAGGAAGCATGCACTTAAAATGTAACAAATACCAAAACAAGAATTAGTACTGATTTGTTAAGTACCTACATCAGTTTTTCAAGATTTCTTTTTCTCCCCAACATTGGCAATAGTAACTGCCAATGAGAGGTTTGTACTGCTCTTACAATCGCAGATAAGTGTGATGTAATGAACCGGAAAGTGGGAGGAGAAAAGATTTCATGACACCGATGTTTAAGATTGAGGAATTACTCGGGACATATTGATTAGTAGTGAATTTTCATTATAACTTTGAAGTAATATGTAGAATCTTCATCCATGTATATTCTAAGTTTAAGTGTGATTATCCGGTATAAATTTGCTTGGAAATCTATTAAACTGATGTTTTCTTAAGATCAAAGATTTGCCCAAATGTTTTTTCTTATCTATCTATCTACACTGTCCAGATAAATTAAGAAGATTCAAATTAATTTTGAACTGAGGTACAGAATCTTAGTACATTGACTAGGTGCAAGATTCAGAGAGAAAACTCTGACAAATATATTACCAGGTACCAGGAGTACAGCACTTATGGATGAGTTATGAAATTTTCGGGGTCAATTAATTAGACATGCCACAGCAGTTTCCGAAAAAAAAATGGTCTAAAAATGGTCTCTAAATGGTCTAGCAAACATGCTTAGTAAAAAAACTTCAGAAACAGGTTTTCGAAATTACGAATTAAACTGCAATGAAAGTAAATTTTTTTTTATAAACATTTTGACTTAATTCACTTCAAATTAACAAATTTATTGTTGTTTCAAAATGCTATTACTTCTTAAAATCTCAACATAAATGATTTTATACTAAGAGTCAATCTGAAGTTTAATTTTCTTTTAAAAACTGAAATTTGGTTTATATTATTAATTAAGTATTTCATTAGCAGGGCCCATGCCAAGAGCTTCAAATTACTAGCCAGTAAATTAGTCAAACATTAAAAGTGTTAGTCAAGTTTAAAAAGTCTTAGCCTAAGGCAAATCTTACAAATTTTTGATTATTTTGTTCCCTAAGAAACCTTTAAATTAAAATTCAAAGTTACTATGAATTTAGCTATTTTAAAAAAGCAAATTAAAATCAAGAGACATTTTACAGTTGGGGAGTAGTCAACGAGCAATGAATGGGAAAGAGAGGGTTAAATTAAACGTCTTTAGTTTTTTAATAAAAGAATTTTTCTGTCTAGCTTATTTTTTTACTGCAGAGATTGTAATCATTCAGAAAAAAAAAAAAAGATCACGGTTGAAGATAAATCATTTGAATAATTTAGATCTGCTTTATTCTGTTTTATTAGTTCTTACATTACTCAGATATTTTTGTAACGAAAATTTAGACGGGGGCTGTCATAGCCAGCCAAATGCATGTGGTTACATTATGTCTACAATTTAAAAGTGGTAATCTTTAAAGATAAAATCAAAGCTAAATTTTCTTATCTAAGCATTCGTTTTAATTTTTGAATTTTACAACAGTTTACTTTAATAAACAGTATGTTATTTTAATGATAGCACACATTTTCCGGAAAAATAGCTGGATGTTAATGTGCATCTAGCTACCACTTAATCTGCTTTATTGATCCAAACTGTGAAATAGAATTTCATCATGAGATATTGGGTGATCCAGAAACAGATGCGTTTTCTTTTTTCGATATTTAATAACGGATCTGTATTTTATTTAATGCTCACTTAATCTCTCTTATTTCTGACATTATCTGGACTTAATTCTAATTCAGGGTTCGTAGCCAAATCTTTCAACAAAAAATAAGCACCTTTTAAGTACTTTTTAAGCACTCGAAAAACATTTTTTAGGCACTATGTACATTAACAAAATAATTTTCAAAGACTTTACATGATCATGATAAAATAAATTAGAATTTGACAAAGTACTCTTTTCTAGTTTATATTAGCCATTAAAAAATAATCAAGAGATTTATGGCTCGATTTCAGAGGGTGTAAAATGAAGCTTTAGATTGAGAATATCTTGCAAAATGCAGCAGAGTTGCACACGAGAGTGCAAGAATCTCTCCGAACCCAGCTCACTAGATGCACACGCGGACTCACAAGTATTTCTTCAAACATGTAAAATGATAGGTGCTTTCATACGCTATGGGCTGACAGTACGCTGAAATTGATTGTGGTTGAATGAATTCTGAAAACGTTGAATAGAAAAATATGAAAAGCACGTTTTTATGTAAAGAAAATCGACATTCACTTTCATAAATCTCATTTTTGAAAAGGGAAAATTAAGCACTTTTTAAAAACACCCAATAAAAAAGCACCTTTAAGGGCTTTCAAAAAACGAAAATCGAAAAAAGCACCCTAAAGCACTTTTTAAAAACACTATGCACCATGTAATTAATATGCAACATATCTAAGGGAAATTTCAATAATCAAATACAAAATACAGGATTTGTTATGAAAAATTCCCATTGATGAAATTTTCAAGGTCCCCTAGAGGAATACATATATTACTCTTTTTGGTAGAAAAAAATCATTCGCCAAAATACAATTGTTTTGTTGAATTTACAGTTTTATAGCATTTGGTAAGGTGGCGAATGCTTAGAGCTGGTCCTGATTAGTTTCAAAATACAGGGAAACAATTTTTTTTTAAAAAAATCAACCAGTGAATAACAACTTAATGTACCATTTTTAAAATTTTTGTGTTTACTGAATCGTTAATTATATTAAAATAACTTTAAATACACTGATTAAAAAGAACAATTTAAATTTTTGAAACAACTTATCTCCATCATACAAGATTTGATTCTGTCTCCTAAGAATAATAAATAAGTACATGACGCCCTAATTCAGTTTTATAAAATTTCAATTTTGTCATTTTCAGACCTGCCAACCTTAGAAAATAAAAAAGCAGGAGACTCTTTCTGTATCACGACATAGCGCAATATTGAAAATTAAACCTGATTCAGACTTCCTACAAGAACTTTATTTCAAAATATTTTATTTACATTACATAAAATAGACCACAATAAGATTCTGACACTGACTAATAAAGATACGTGTTCTTACGATAAAATATAAGGTTCTATAGAATTATATTAAAACATATCTTTTGATTTTTTCAAATTTAGGAAGAAGTTCAAAACTAACAAAATATGTCAATAATGAATACAATACTTTATAAATGCATTTCTTAATTTTTTTTTTAACTGCTACTGTTTTAAAACTGCAGATGTTGCTGATTTAGCATTATTTAAAAAAAAAAAAACTGGCATCTGTAAAAAGTGAAAAAACATTTTGCCTAATGGTGTCCAAGATATCTCCGATTTTGCCATTTCATTGGTTATTGCTGCTGTTTTGGTTCACACTCACCATAATTTTTAGTGATGTTGCTATGGGGAAAAGTTTTTCCAAATAAATGCCCAGCATGATCTGAAGCACAAGTTGGGAAGGCACAAATTGTTGTTTTTTTCCTCTATCTTGCACTAAATAGAAAAAAGCAGGAGAAAACACCCTGAAGGCCTGAGGGTGAAGATTTGAGGCAAAAGCAGGAGAGTTGGCAGGTCTGCATTTTTATATAAAATTCATAAACAACACATCAGAGAGAATAGGTAAGAAACTTCAATTACATCTGTTTCATTTGTGGACTGTCTCTCAGAGCTCAATTTTTGCAGTTTTAGAATTATAAAATTTATGTTGGACATTAAAAAAGATAAAGCAGAATCATGCAGAAAAGTGATGTCTGAATTATAAGGAAAATTTTACTGAAAAAGTCTAGAAAAAAATTTTTTTAGAAACTAAATTTAAAATAAAAAAAAATCTTTATTCTTTATGAAAATAGAAGTATTGTCATTCATGGAGAGTAAATATATTCATACATAGTAGTACTTTTATTTGTAATAGAAGTAAACACAATACCATGTTTTATGACTGATGATAATAAGCATTTGGAAGGAAAAAAAAGTGGTAGAACAAATAAGGAGGAAAAGCCTATTTTACCTGTGCTGCCATGTCAATAAGAGCATGAAGCCTCAGATTTTTGCCTTCTTTATTTCTTAGGTATTCTAAAAGACTTCCATTCACCATATACTCTGTTATGATAAGAATAGGTTCTTCTTTAGAGCAAACAGCAAACAAAGATACTAGTTTTTCATGTCGGAATTTCTTCATTATTGTAGCTTCTTGTAGAAATGCTGATGGAGCCATGGTTCCTGATTTTAGTGTTTTAACAGCAACTTCTGTTGTTCCTTTCCATTTACCTAAAATTATAATTCAATTAACAAATTGAAAATGAACACAGCAAATAAATTTAAGGAAATTTTAAAACTACACAAATTTAAGATCCAAATTATTATTTATTTTATTTATTTATTTTTTACATCCTTCGTTGAATAGCCGACCTAGTTTTTTCGGGTTTATGACTACTAATGTTTAACTCTGTAGTTTTGTAATTTTTAAAACAATCCAGAAGACAAGGAAACTCCTGCATCAGTACCCCCAGAGGTACGATTTGCTATGGGAACATGGAGGACTTACTGAGAGTTGAAATTATTAAAAAATTCAGAACATTTCATAACATATACTAGCTTTATGTATACCTTGATTACCATAAGTAAGGCTATATCTACTCTCATCAGCACTGGCTCTAAACGCCATTGTGTACCCTGGTCTTCTTCAAAAGTTTTTCACAGTTTTCAGAAACTGATCCTTAATTTTTGCTTTCAGCATGGCAAAATCTGCTTTCAGGCAGTCTATTCAAATCTTTTTAGGCCTTTCTCTTACTCTTCCAAAGAAAGAATTGGCAAATAAAAATCATCAGTGCTGCCAGTTAAGATCTCTCGCCAATCTCATTCAATTTAACTCAAGTGATTTCTAAGTCTCACTTTAAGACATTATATAGTTTAAAATTACTTTTTCCCTAGGTGTCATCATTTGAAACATTACTAGAAACTCCTAAAATTTATTCCTCCTTCATCTCGAAGTTCAACTCTCTGAATCATAACTGGTTCTATCTATACCTTCAATAGAATTTCTATCTTTTTAATTAAATGAGATTTCTACTAAGATCCTAAATTAAAAAAAGTAAGGATTTGCTGCAAATGCTTTTCCGCATTTCAGGATTAATATCATTATTAACATAGCTGCCAACATGGATAGAAAAAATCCAGTAGATTTTACGAAATAATATAAATTTCATGATAACTGTTACATAATGTGCTAAATATTTGACACATAGGGAACTTTAGAGATTTTTATAGTCATCAAAACAGAAAAATTTCAATATAATTGGGATACTTGAAATGTTATGTATTATGTTTATTTATAATTTCAAATATTAATAGGTATTTAATTCATCAAAGAAAGTCAAAAGACCTTCTTTTAATTAATTTAAAAAGAGAATTCTAAATAAAAATAAACTGAACATTTTAGAACAAAAGAAGCTTTGAACTGATTTCCATAAATGAGGTTCGCTTCATTATATATTAGTAATACTTAGTTAATTATTCTAGCTAGCAAGCAATAATCTGTACAAAAATTCTACTTCGATAAGGAATTTTTTTTAGGAAACTTACTCAATTTTAGGGAATTTTCTAAAATGTACAAATACCAGGAGAATTTTAATTTAACCAGCATTAAACGACCAGGAGTAACTGGAAAAGTCCAATAGTCTACTGGAAAATCCAGTAGAGTTGGCAACTGTGTTATTAATCTAATCATCGAAACTAATTTCAAAAATTATGGATAAAATTCTTACAACTTATACTATCATTTTACCCTTTTATTGCTGATTACTAAGTCATTTAATTACGAAATAAATTTCTGTTGTTGCTTTTGTTGGAAGCACTTATTTAAAATTGTAATAAAACAATAATGGTTAACTTACCATACCAAACATCACCAAAATTTCCACTACCTAATTTCCTAATAAGTTGTAATGACGATCTTGGTATTTCCCATTCATCCCTGGTATCTGGTGAAAGATCCCAAAGATGTGGCTTTGGTTTTGGACAAGGGATTGTCAGTTTATGGCACAAGCCATTTGCTCCTTCTGAAACAAGTTTACATTTAAAAACTCATCCAGAACCACGAAATAACTGTTTTTCAAAGTTTATTTTCACAAATTATCTTCGTTGCTTCCAATATAGATCTAAGTCTTTATCTCATGTAAAAATTTTAATACATTTTTCTTTTTAATAATTCATCAATTAAATATGCAAATTAAAATAGACTAAATTAACAAACTTAACATTTAAGAAACAAAATTGTGTGCCTTTAAACAGAAATAATGATTAATATTAATACTATGATACAATTTGAAAAATCATTATAAATATTTTTTTAAGAAAAACTTTAATTTGTACACACTAAGATTTAAATCACTTCATTTTAAATTTTGTAGTCATAAGTGCAAGAGAGTCTGTATTTTATTAAATCTGAAGGAAGCTTGCATTAAAAAAAAATTATGATTATTTGTTTCAATAGTGAATATTTTGATTAATGAAGTTTAAAAAAATAGAAATCAAATAAGTTTTATATATAGTGGAATAATATGGAATATTAAAATAAGAGTGGTAAAAAGATAGCTTGCTGACCTTTTTATGCTTTCCAAACTTAAAGTTTTCCCTAATTTTCCTAAAATGTTAATATTTTCTTCCAAAAAAGCACTTCATTTTTACTAAATATTGATTGCTATATGTTTTAAAAATCCATTAATCACAGGAAAAAATGTGAAATTAACAAATTGAAAGGAAAAATAAAAGTTACTTAGTATAAAACATGACATAAAATGGCAAAAAAATTACAAAATGCCAAATTTAAAAAAAGAAAAAAATACTAATGAATTAGCAGCTTATAGTAAATGAATGAGAAAAGGGTATGTGAAAATAAATTAATATATAGAAGAACTATTTTGTTTACAAAATGTTTACGTACCAGAATAATAAGCGACTAACTCTTGAAGTGTAACAAATGTCTTTCTCGTAGTTACATAGAAACCACCATTATCCATAGCTTTGATTTTATAATGTTTAACATGATCACTTTTTTGATGCTCCCAATCTTTTATAGATAAAGAATATGCTCCTGAAAATTTAAATTAAGAGTAAAAATTATATTACAACCATAATAAACAACAAAACTACTCTGAAAGACTAGTCCCATTAACAGAAACTGATTTTAACTCTGGTAACAATTAATAATAACAGCAAACAGGAATTGTTAGAAAAATAAAGGACATTATTTTTTAATATACACGTTGATATGGTCATCAGACTAAAATAAATATTAAAAAAAAAACTAAAAGGCTAAATTTGAGCTAAACATAAATAAAGTTGAAACAGCTTGAAAAAATTAAAATAATGATTGAGTTATTAGTGCTTTTTTATGTTACTACTTTATTATTTCTTTTATAAAAAATTATACCCTACAATCAATTCAGACATTTTACACGTCTTATTTTCAGTGATAACACAAATTTTATTTTGATTGTTCTTTTTGATTGCTTTTAATGTTTTTTAATCATTTTAATTTTAAAATTTTTTTCTGATCAAATTTAATTTTTAATGATCTTAACGCTTTTAATCTACTTCAAAGTTGCCTTATTGTTATTATTATTTTAGAGTCTAACCCAGAGATACTTTATTATTCCAACAACAAACAACTCAAAATACTTAGGAACAAAAATAACCACTTGATGCTAAAAATTTAAAACTAATAAATATTAAAAAAGGTTAATAATCTAGTAACTAATCATTGATTGGATATAATGATAGCAAATCAGATGAAACTAACACAAAATAAAAAATCTTAAAATCCACCACCTAAGCAAATGGGACTTAATAGTAACAGAGTGAATTTCTGTACATTTTTTTTAATCTTGAAGATATGTTCGAATTCGAAACATTTAATCAAATTGATTGTTAGCCCAATTGTGGAACTGATTGATACTTCAACAGCAAACTAACGAAATTTTTTCCACACACTTGATGGATTAAAATGCCAATTACAGGTTTAATAATTTAGATTTAACACTAGAATAATTAGGAATGTAAACATATTTTTAATTTGCCCAAAATATTTAGTTATAAGCAATTTATTTAAAACAATTTGTCATTGTTTTGAACCTTTGCTTTCAGTATATATTTAAGATCGAATTTTGTGTATTATTTTTTTGTGAAATAAGGAATATACATGAGAATGAAAAGGACAGTCAACTTGATAAAGCAAAAAATGTGGCTTATGTTTCGAATTGAAGCTATTAACCTGTAAAATTAGGTAAGGTAAGAAGGAAAAAAAAGGTCATGTTTATTTGATTGGCACTTCTTTTTTTTAAATTCACAACATGATAGATATTTCTCATCAGTGTTGAAACATAAATTTAAGTTTTTTTTAAAAAAAAAAGATTCTGCATAATTAAAATAATCTTTTTATCAAAGAAAAAAATCTTATTTTTTAAATTGTGTTAATATTAAGTTTCCTCACATACAAGGTTCAACAAGAACAATGATAAAAATGTTAGTATTTTCTTTTCTTTTAAATAATGAAGGAATTGCTCAGAGAAAATTAGTAACCACTTTCATTCATTATTTTCCCTTTAAATGTCATGCAGATAAGTAAAAGTTTCCAAACCTTTTGTAGTACCTGTAGTTTGCTCACAGTTGCGAATAAGGAAAGCTCCCCTAGGATTTGATGGCAGCATAAGCATCTTTTCAGCTTCTTTGCGAGATACACGGCCAAAAAACCAGCTAAACAAATATTTTTTTTAAAAAAAACTATTATCTGATAAAACTAAATACCACAATAATTTAAATGAAATAAAACTTACTCTTCACTTTCCACAGTCTTTTCAGGAGCAACATAGTTGCGAGGCACATATCCATTTTGTTGATTGGATAAATGACAAGCATGCCACCAATCAGGATCACTAAAATAAAAGAAAACAGAGTAAAAATAACATGAAGCAGAAAAATTGGGTACTTGCACTTCAAAAAGAAGATCACGGATATCCACACATTTGACCTATGGCGTCAGCACGAGTTCATTGTTTACAAGCAAACGAGTGTGTTTAAGTCCAGCTGTTTTTCCACATAAAATAGAATTTTAATTAACATGAAGTTAATTAAATACAATGGCGTATCGCTGAATTTGTTGAAATATAATTCTGTCATCTAGATCTTTTACTTAACTTAGATTTATTATTTGTCAATGTATTTTATTGTAATTGAGGTATTTATTTTTATTTTTTGTACCTGGTAAATTCGATACATGATTAGTTTATTTTCTACATGGTTTTGTGCCTGTCTTTGTGTTAAGTAAGAAATATATAGTGAAAGTGTTGAATTTTTAAGTTTGCTCCAGCTAAAGCAGAGATCAAATTTATCAGAGGTCAAATAAAAAAGGCACCTACAATATTATTATTAGAAAATTTAAAGACTATGATTATATAAATACCTGTCATCAAGAATTCCTAAGCGATCACCTTTTCTGAAGCTGAGATCACCTTGGTCACGAGCATTGTAAGGATACAAAGCAACAACAATTTTTACTAAAAATTAAAACCAAACTTAGATTGGAAATTTCAGTTATCATATTACAATGCTAATAATATTCATTAAACTATAACTTATTAAAAAGTTTTAAAAAAATTACAAGTTTTAAAATAATAAGTAAAAAAACATTTATAAAAAAAATAAGCAAATACAGGGTGGCCACTCAAATCAGATTTCAAATTTCCCTGATTTTTCCAGGTTTTCCAGATAAAAATCTTAAAATTTCCAGGTTTTTGTTTCTTTTTTCTTACAAANGTGGCCACCCTGAAATAGTACTAAAAAGCATGTGACAAAAAGAAAAAAAGTATACAATAACCCCACAGCTGCCAACCTTAGGAATCAAAAATTAGGAACACTATATGCGACAAAATTAAACGCACCAATTACGAGAGTAAGACAAAAATTTAACTATTAAATAACAACATTAATATTTAAATAACTTAAGTAAATTAGTAAAACAAAACTATAAACACTATCTTTTGCGGGAAATTTATAATATTAATATTTTATAATTAGGAATACCGGTATAATAGTTTAAGAACAACCACTACCCATTAATATATAATTATTATTCACCAAATTATAAAAGACAGGTGAATAATAATCTACATCATAAACAAATATTTCTGATACAAGTCTTTAAATACTACAATAAATTTTTTTACAAATAATAATAATTGTTTAAGATTCGATTTAGTGAAATGATCAGCAACAGCTATTGGAATAGTATTTTCCAATAAAAAGTTACTAAAAATTACTTCTGCACAATAATCACATGAAGCACGCTTGCGGTGATCAGAACAAGGGATTGGTTTAAAAGCAAAAATACTGCAATTTTACGAATATTCGGATTTTTAATAAAAATATCAGATTTTCAGAGTTGATTTAAAAATTAGGAACAAATCCGAAAATTTCTGAACAGTTGGCAGCTATGTAAACCCATATTGAACACAAATTTTGTTTACATTAAAACATCACTTTAAAAGTATATTCTGAGAATTATCACACAATTAAGAGATAAAATTAACTCACAGCAGTTGTTTCCTTGTCTAATACCATCGGGTGAAAAATTTGGGATTGGTGTATTAGGTGTGCAATTAGGATAGCGCTGACGCTCATGAAGCTGAGTTATTCCACCATTTCCACTTTCCATTCCACTGTCACCGGACATGGGAGTTTCAATGGTGATTTCAGGATTGTCCCTAAGGCTGTGTTGAGGCATAATCTGTTCATGGTCACTCTTTTTTACACAAATATTACCCATGACAGAAAGCTCGGGTATTCAGTAAATAACTAAAAATAATGATTAAGTTTAAAAATTAATAACAATTGATTAGAGAAAAAAATAATTTAAAAATCAACGAATATTGAAGATAGCTTACAAAAAGACAAAATTAATTAACTATATTCATCGGATGGATCAAACAAGTGAGCTTGACTGTGAATATATGTCCTCCATATTCCCAGTTTTCTAAATTGATCAACCTTCATTATGATCTTTTAAATCTGAAATTTAAAAAAATTTAATTACTAGATAATAATTATNTGTTAAATATGCACGGATCAAACAAGTGAGCTTGACTGTGAATATATGTCCTCCATATTCCCAGTTTTCTAAATTGATCAACCTTCATTATGAACTTTTAAATCTGAAATTTAAAAAAATCTATTTACTAGATAATAATTATAAAACATTTTTTTTTTTAAGAAGTAGGTATTTCTCACACGACAGAATAGCTCAGCAGTTCTCAATTTTTTTTCCTCTTTGCCATGGAATCTTAAGTGATCAACCTTCTTTTGCAGAAACCTGACTATTTTCAAGAAAGTACATAAAGACAATTGTGAACGCATTTACCAATATATGATTCCTTTATTATGAAAATACTAATTTAATAAGAGAAATTTCTTTTCATTAGTTTATCATTAAATTTGGTTTTATGTCCAACAGCTAAATTCTTAATACTAGAACTGAATCTAGTACAGTTATGAATTTCTTTTTTTTGGTGTATATATGCATAAGTTGAAAATTAGCAGGCTAAGCCAAATTATAGTTTTCTTAAAAATGAAAATAATAAAGAATGGCTGTAAACTTTGAAAATGGTTATTAACGAAATTTTTTTCTTTATAAACAAATTCAGTTACTTCATTTTGAATTGAAAAGCACATTTTGAAATACTAATGCAATATTTTAAAAATGCATGTTTTTTTCATAATTCATTAAATATATTGCAGCTACAAAAATTAAAGTTTTTAAAAAACACTTGCTATATTTTTTATTGGCATTTTACTTTAAATGATTTCATACAGGGAACTCAAATATTAAATAAATAATGGATTATTGATTGGAAAACATAATTAAAGGTTTCCAAAAATCATTACTGGTTAAAAAAAAAAAACTATCAGAACTCCCTTTGACTCTTTCACGGAACCCTAAGGTTCCACAGAACACCATTTGGGGAAAACTGGAACAACTCCTACTAACTCATAGAATAGCTGCATATCCAGCTCCCCAAACCAGTAATTGCTTTGTACTTCGTTTTGTTACTCATTTCGAAGCAAAAATTTCATTTAAAAAAATTGTTCCATTTCATATATTATATTTAACTGTTGAATTCCTCAAAAAATGGCCCTTTCAGATGTCAACCCAGTAGAAGCATTTCTCTGGATTGAAGAGTAGCGTGGTGTTATTTTTCACAAGTTCTAAACATTTTTCCTACGCCTATATAATTTCACATTTCACAGTAAACATTGAGTATAGCGCACAGAGAAGCAAAGTTAAGAACCGAAAATAGTTTAAAAATTAGTACCAAAAACAGCTTTACGAACTTCATTTTAAATTTTTATTATGATAACTTAAATATAAGATAAATTAATAAAAATATTCCTTTATATACAGTTGTGTATTTTTTACAGAAGTATGCAATAGAAGTGGAATATTCCCTGAACTAGTGGACTGGTCTAAATATTCTTTGTATTTCGAATATGTAGAACAAAAAGTTAGCTTTTAATCAGTATAAAAAAAAAATAATACATCAAAGAAGAAAAAAATTAACAATTTATAGACTAAATACAGTAGAAAAGTGAAAAGGTTTTAACATTTTATCAAATTTTAAACTAAAAATAATTTTAATACAGATACTTGATATTTGTTAAATAATTAACTTAGGGTTGGCAATTTATCGTGAAAAAAAATCTGAAGTATAATTAAATTCTTTTAAAATAATTAAATATAATTATTGGAGCAGTTTGCAATAAAAGAAAATAAATTCCTTCTAATTATGTCTGAAGTAAATCACTTTTTAATTTTTCTGAAATTATAATATCTATCAATTTATTAAACTTTAAAAGTTATCCACAATTCAATCTCCCTTGTACTTAAATGATACAAATATTTGTTTAAATTTTTACACAACTCATATACTATTCTCATACAACTCACACACATTTACCTTTTTTAAGCACACAAATAACTTGTACTTTTCATATGTAAAGGCAATAAGTATTTTCCAGACCATGTAACATTGTACAGAAAATGCATTGGTGGAGGAATAAAATATCTATAAATAGATTTTCTTTACAATACACAAAAATATATAACCTGCAGAAAACAGAACAGAAAGAATAAAGAAGAAAAGAATTTATGGGCTAATTTTTCAAATTAAACATTAAATTATAAATTAAACCTAAAAACTATTTTGTGACATCAAAATAAATTTAAAAATGAATAGGAAAATGTACACTTTTATTTATTTTCAAACAAAATATTTCAATATTATAGCATACTAACTTTATGTACTAAATATTTCAAATATTGCGTTCTTGCAATATATAAGCCCATAACATTTTAATGAATCACAATTTCCATATCCAACTGTTAAATATCATTACAAGAAATTAAAATAAAAGTAACAATTCAGGAAAATTGAATAAAATACAACATATAAAGCTGCCATACTGAATATTGACACAAAGGAAGTTGCAGCTCTCGAAAAAGTGGAAGCTTCAGTTTCCTTCCTGATTGCAAGCATTACACACTTATCACCAGATTCGAATTGATAAATAAAAAGCTTAATAATATGAAATTTATCAGTCAAACTTCCATAACATTAAACTCATCTGAACTAGATTTTAGATAAAATAAAGAATTAATTAAACTATTTTACAATTAAAAATAAAGAATAAATTCGTAAATAAATATTAATTCAGGGAAGTTTAATTTATTTTCAAAATTCAAAGCAAAATTAGAAATTTGACTTAGTTTAGTACACAGAAAAAAGAATGTTTTTAATAATATGTGATACCTAAATACAATATTATGTTAAATATGCACATGCAGAGTTTAAGAAAATACGGAGGAGGAATTAGGAAGTTTATAGGATTAACAGTAGAGAAATCCTAATTGATATAAAAAGTTTTTAAAAGAGAACTCATCTGAACTAGATTTTAGATAAAATAAAGAATTAATTAAACTATTTTACTAGCAAAAAAAAAAAAAAAAANATTAATTTAGGGAAGTTTAATTTATTTCCATAATTCAAAGCAAAGTTAGAAATTTAACTTAGTTTAGTACAGAAAAAAAAAGACTGTTTCTAATAATATGTGATACCTAAGTACAGTACAGAGCTCATTCTAGGCAGGGTAAACAGGGCGCAGCACCCTGCTGCCTTTTTAGTCAAAAGAATCCACCCTGTTGCCCCTGAAGTAAATTAGTGCCCAGATGTAATATACTCCATACACTTTCTTTCCTCAACCCTTCTTTATTTTTCCACCAAACTCTACAATGGATTTCTTAAACCTTTCAACGCTTTTTATTTAGTTTGTCGTTATTGTCATTACATAGACTTATATGGGAAAGGAAAAATAGCCATCACACCCCCTTATTGCACTTATCTTTGAAAGTTTGCAGTTACTTCCACTATCATTAAATCATAATTATTAATCATTTTAATTATTAAATCATAACTACACACTTAAAATGCATGCATGCATTTTAAATAAATTACTAAGATAATTAGCTCATTAACTCGCTATATATGTTAATTTATTAATAAAAATTAGTAATTAATATGATTGCTTTGCTACTTTTAGTAAAATTTAAAAAAAAAAAAATTCTTTTACTAATTGACGTTTTTTAATAGAACGTGTAAGGCCATAGAAAGAAATTATTGACTTTTTGGAATAATAATGCCCCTTTTTTAAACATTTGCTCCCTGCCCTTTTTTTCTGCCTAGAATGAGCTCTGGTACAGTATTATGCTAAATATGCACATGCAGAGTTTAAGAAAATATGGAGGAATGAGGAAGTTTATAGGATTAACCATAGAGAAATCCTAATAGACATAAAAAGTTTTTAGAAGAGAGTAAAAATTAAGTTCTGAATAAGAGAAAATTTTTAAAAGCAAAGGGGGGGGGGAATTAAATAAATTTGGATTAGGATGTAAATAATTAAATATTAACTAGTTTAGCATAATTACATTAATTTACGAAAGTTTAATTTGTTTAAATTATTTCTATAATTTAAAGCCAGGCTTAAAATCTGACTAATTTTAGGACAGAAAAAATATTTTTAACAATATATGATACCTAAATAAAATATTAAACTGAACACACACATGTAAATTTTAAGAAAAAATAGAATAGGAATGAAGAAGTTTATAGGATTAACCATAGAGAAATCTTATTGGTATAAAAAGTTCGGATAAGAAAAATTGCCCGATAAGAAGATTTGCCTTATAAGTACACAAAAAAATATACTATTAAATACCTATATAAAAAATCACACTGAATCCTATGCTATAAAAAATACCATTACTTTCTCACATAGGAATATTCTCTTACTTTAAGATTAAAACATTTAATTCAAGCAATGCTTTATTGTTTTTAATAGCAAAATGTATAATATTCCCTGACTTTAGAAACAAGGATCAACTTACAATTCACTAGTATTGGCAACAAAATCAGTTGAATTTTAGGACCAAGTACAACAGAGTAAAAATAAAAATAAAATTTCATTAACAGAAATAGGCTCATTTAATTTAATAGAATAGGTTTGGCTGCGATTGGCTTGTTTGAGTATTTTTATAAATTTAATATAACCAAATGATAATGAACCTAGAAATTAATTAAGAGTGATTTTGCAACTCCATCTAATTTAAGCAAATGAAAATGTGACAATATTATAAACATTAAAATGTTATATTACAATCCAACGGTCACACTTTAAATCATGGTCGACAAGTTCTCAAAATGTGTCATTCTGTCAGTTCTTCACTGTTTATACCATGGATAAAACTGTGTCAAAAACTTAAAAATAGCATTTATTGCACATTAATAATAGTGTTTATTAATTGCTGCCTTCATTGATATCACATTTATATCAGATATGTGACACCAATTTAAGTCTTAAATAACACATTGGATGGAATGTTTCAATTTCAAATATTAAATTACCAATTGTCATATACAAATCAAAGTATATTAATGGGAAAATGACATGAAAATAAACTCATTTAATACATAAATGAATCTGAAATATAGACTACTAAATCCTAACAGAAAATTTGCTGGAAGCTCCTTAGTTGTTGTAAAATTGATTTAAACAAGACATTTCTATGACAGAAAAAGAACTTCAAATATTCTATTACTTAAATAATTAATTGAATAAATAATTAAATGAATAATCTCAAGAAACTAAGGTGGAAAATTATTAAGTCCAATGTAAACCATCTTTAAATATTAACCCATATATTATTTCTAACAAGACTAACAATACCAAAAGACCTCTCCATTAAGTCTGAATTAAACTAATACAAATTGAATAAATACAATAAATACAGACAACCTCTTAAAGTGGGTGAATAAATGCAATACTTTATAGGAATAAGCACCTTTGTGTAAAAATATCTTGTTTTCCTACTTAATACTTAAAAAAAATGAAAATATCAACAAGTGATGAAAGAAGAACCACTAATAATCATTCTGCATAGTAAACAATAATCAATTTTAAAAAAAAAAAAAAAAAAAAAAATTGCTAATTTTCTGGNAAAAATTAAAAAAAAAAAAAACCTTACTTACAATTTAAGTGTGTAATAAAGGGAAAAATGTGAGATGGTAATCTTACTAAATATGAAGAAGCAAATTATTACAAAACAAATGTTTTAATTTTTTAAAATTTAATTTAGAAATATACGGAACTATACGCAAGCTTCAAATTTGAATGTAAACAAATATAAATATTAGTCATGCATGGATTGTTTTACAATATATATACATTAGAAAAATAAAATAAGTGCACATCTTAAAACATTTGTTCAGATACGTTAAATTCTAATTTAATTAAGATATGATATGCATGTGGAAATTGCAATTGTGCATTAGACCTCAAAAACTACTAAAGCAGATTATGCGTAAAAAAACATTAAAAATCCACTTAATGTTTACAAATAAGTAATCATTTTTTATAATTGAGAACTATTCATTAAAATTACTTAATGAAAATAAACATTTCATCGATTAATATGTTTGCAAAATAAGATCAGCACTACTAGATTAGTAAAGTAAATGAAATTGTAGGTGAACCTTCAAAAAGTTTTCATAACAATTTAAAGTTTCTAATTTCAAATATCCTTAATTTAAAATAATGAATTAATAGACAATGATGAGATATACACCCATGATAAACTGGAACTGTAATAACAACATACCTACACCATTCGTTCATTTTATTTCCCTGGCCTTTAGGGTTAATTGGTAATCAGGAGTGACAGATATGCCTTTCTTTTAAAGTGAGAACTATTTAGAAAAAAACAATTTCAGAAAATTTTATTCTGTGAAACATAATTCTTGAAATTGACAATTACAAGTTTGCGGAAATGCCCAATGTGCAGTTCAAGAAAGCTAACCAACGAAACCGAGGTAGTTGTCCTCGGAAAATAGAATTAAATAAATAAATAAATAATAGAAGGAACTCCTGAGTTGATCCTTAGTTGTTTTCAAGCAAATTATACCCATGCAACTCAACAAACAGTCTCGACCGATTGTCGTTCGTAAATGGTTTTAAATGTTCTAGCCTGAACTAAACTGTTTTAACTCAAAAGTTTCGAACATTTGAAGAATAATCTTTGTGATATTTGCATGAAAATACCCTTTGATCAGAGCCGACGAATCTTGTAAGGCGAGTTTCTTTTGAAACAGAACTGAGGAAAAAGGGTTCCATCTTTTAAAATTTAAACTTCATAAATGGTAAAAATTAATCAAAATCTAAACATATCGTCAAAATCCTTAACTTCCATCAAAATCGAAACGAAAATAAATTGAAAAATTTCTAAATTATAAAGATATTCGAATGAGAGAAAAATAATCTTTATTTGTATTAACAATAACATAAGTGATTAGTTCTTTATACTGCAGACTATGTTTTTCAATAAAATTTTAAATAATGAACTATTTGAGCAGTTTAAAGCTCGAGTTTGAACCAACCAAACGCAGTGGCATTATCATTGCTTATATCGTTATTTTTGTTTTAGTTTACTTTATTCGATTTTTTATCTCTTCGTTTGGCGCAAAGAAGAATTATTTCTAGAGTTGGTTCTTTTTACTATTCCTGAACATTTATCAAGTGGGAAAGGGGGTGATCTGCTGATGGTAAAAGATCAGATAAAAAACTGATAAAATGTCAGTGCCAACAATTTTGGCCAACACCATTTCCTTTTTACATCTTTTTCCGCTCGAAACTTTAACATCTTGGCATTAATCGTAACTCTAAAGTGTAGGGTTAACATAAGTTGGTCTTTCAAGACAGAGCGGTATTAATCAGAATTTAGAGGACAAAGAAATTTATTTCAAAATTTTTCTGGCATCGAGAATTCCGGATATATTTTTTTGGACAGTGATGCCGAAAATGTTTGAGCGGGTGTAATTTATTTATTTAATACTTTGTAAAATAATTGCATAAAAATGACTGCACCACATTCTAAAAAGCGTGTTTGTTACTACTATGATGGTAAGTTAATTTTTTTACACATAATATAGGATTAATTAGCTATCATAGGATTTAAGAGTCTTCTTTAAGTGAAGAGGATTTCCAGTATTTCCTTAATTGTGATTTTACTCCATTATGGCTCACTTATTCGTTTGAATTTGGCTTATATATATATATTTATTAAAATTTATTCTTTCAATTTTATTGAATGATTTCTGATCATTTAAAAAATTATGACGTTCATGATCATATAGTGTACATTGTGAATGTATAACCGTGCTTTTACAAGCATGATTAGACAAGCGTTTAAATTTCCTTTTATTGGCTTTTATTTCTTATTACGATTGTTGTTATCAAGTATAATAAAAAGTCAGTAGTTGCTGCTCGCTTTTCTTTATTTGGTGAAATTCGTAACATCCGACTTACAAATTTTTCTGGGGAGATTATCATATCGACGGCAAGTTGAGATAGACCCCTGCACACATATATATGAACTTTCAGCAATAGGACGAAAAAAAAAATTTCATTAGAGTGTTTACCCTAATTATGATTTTCTTTTTTAAAAAAAGTGCTTAGAAATATCTTTTAAGTGCTTATTTTTTGTTGAAAAGTTTGGCTAGGCACCCTGGTAACCCACTTTGTATTCTCTTTACTTCTCTAGAATTATTTGGTGGTTAGAAACGGAGGAGAGTTCTTTTATATAGAACAGAAACTTTACTATGTCCTTTTCTGTATTCTTTCATTTGTGCTTTATTCATGTTGCCTTTTTTGCTTTAATATTGCTCTCATTTTATCTAATTTTTTGAAAAATATTTAGTTTTAATTAAAACTGGATTTTTTATTTTGATGACCTTTTTATAGTGGTTTAAACCCAGGGTTGCAAAAAACCCGGGTTTTGTAGAAAAACCCAACCCGGGTGGGTTTTATTGGGCTTTTCTAGGTTTTTTATGGGGGGGGGGGGTTCAAANCAGGGATAAGTACCTTATTTTAAAAAAGCTTATTTTAATATTAATAATTAAGTTTAATTTTATAAATTGACTTCATATAGATAATTATTACAAATAAATTGATGTGAAAGTCTAAAAAAAGTTTCTTCTGCATCACGATACAAAATGTTATGTGTACTCACATACATCACACATTTGAAACTTATTTTAACACAGGATTACTTTTTATTTATATTTTAATCTTAAAAAATATTTGCTGAAAATTTTTTATTTGCATAAAAAGCAAATCAATGGCACCGAATAATCAATGTCCATACAGTCAAATCTAGCCAGCGAGGTGACTCTCCAGTTTCCAACATAATTAGTTTCTTCTCTATAGGTTAATTTTTATTAGGCTAGACTACATATATATTTCAATAGAATAGCTCTTTAATATAACATAGGATAAAAAAAGAAATCAATCTTAGAAAAACCCAGTAAAACCCACTTTAGAGTGGGTTTTACCCAGTAAAACCCGGTTGGGTTTTTTGCAACCCTGATTAAACCACTATGGTTAAGTTAAGCCAGTGTTCTCACTAAGCATTTTTTTAGAAGGGCAGTCTGTCCAATCTGCTCTTTGATCACTATAAATGTGCCATCCTTTGTAAAAATAAGCCACCATTCCTTAAAAACACTACCTTTTTACTCATAGTCCATTTAAAAAATAACTCGCTGTTTAGATAACACACTTATAAGTTTCTCTTTTTTCAGGAGGTATATTAATGGACTTTTTAAGTTTTTTTTTTTCAAGTTTTTTTAAAAAATGCATGTTTAAATATTCATTTTTTAATAATTTTCAAGTTGAATTTTAAAAAAAAAATTAAATTGATTAGGTTTGTTAATTACAAATTTTTTTAGTTTACTTTTTTTGAAGAAAAAAAATTATGCTCAGTGATTTTCTTTTAGCATGCCTTTAATTATTATTTTTTTTTTTAATATAAATTATGAATTTTTCTCTTGCTTTGATAATGTGTGAGAACTACTTTTTGAAATTTCTACATAAAAAAATGTAAGAGGATAATTAAAAAATTGTTGATGATCAGCTTTAGTTATTATATAATATTACAAAATTTGATGAATTTTTAAGGTGATAAGTGAGTGTCTTTTTAAAACTCAATACTCAATGCCCTTGTCTGAAAGGAAAGGGTAGTGCCCTGCTCTTTTTTACTTCTAGGGAGAACTCTAGCTTAGTGTTGTATGATAATATATTTTTTTTACTCTGTTAGCTTGAGTAAGCATTTAATGCTCTATATTTTGTAATTTGTTAAAAAAATAAAAAACTTTTTTGATTATCGCCCTTCATAATAATTTTAACACTGAAAACGAAATTTCTTTTAAATTTTAGTTTTTAAAGAAAATAGTGGTAAGGGGAAATAATGTAACAAATACAATTTAAAAATTACCAAGTAGCATAGTTGACAGTCATACAACTTAGTACATATTTAAAGATATAGATGAATTATCTCGTAAGTTTTTACCTTAATAAGGCAGTTTTCATGGAAGACAAAACAATTTCCTGAAATAACAAAAATTGAATAAAAATGCATGTCTGCTATAAATAGTGAAAAACAGTTTAAATTTTCCACTCTAGATATTAATTTTTACTATTTCATTTGTAATTCAAATATACCAAAAACTAATATGCTTTTCTTGCTTTTTGATGAAATTGTGTAGAGTTCAGCATCATATACTGCCTCCAAAGTGAAACCTAATTTTGATAGTCATGATTATTAACTCTTTAATTTTACAATACGAAAAGAAAAGAAAAATTTTTGGTATTTATTTTTTAAATATGAAGAAGATAGATTTATTTAAGAGCATTTTTATTTCTGAAACAATATTTACATATGTTTTTTAATAACCTATACAAATTTTAAAACTATGTTAACTTTAACCCAGAGTGGGGTTAAGTGGATACAATCAAAACATGTTTGTTTGAATGTATTACTCTAAGAAAACAATCAAACAATAGATAAGTTATAATTCACATTTAATCTACATGAATCCAATGTATATAAAATGCATCATAATTTTTGGAAAAGAAAATTTAATAGTTTGGTTTTAGACCTAACCATATTTCTTTTTTTTCTTTTTAAATGTGTTTTTAATATTTTAGGAGATATTGGTAATTATTACTATGGCCAAGGACATCCTATGAAACCTCATAGAATACGTATGACTCATAACCTAATTCTTAATTATGGACTGTACAGGAAGATGGAGATATATGTGAGTTATATTTCTTTTAATATTATTTGCATTGTCTACTCTTAGCAAAAATAATAAAAATGGAAATAGAAAAACAACAAATTCTTGTTATTTGTCTTGTAATCATTACAAACATTTTTAAAAAGCATTTAGTGCCATGGTGGCTCAGTGAATAGAATGTTCATCTCCCAATGAAGTGACCAGGGTTCGAATCCCAGCGATGGTTGGTCTTTACGAATTTTGCACCTGTCTCGCACTGACCACTATAGTGACACAAAATATCTTCAGTGGTAGACAAATCATGGGTTAGAGTCCCCTTGCTGTCAGGCTAACAGTAGGAAGATTTTGTGGTTTTCCTCTCCATGTAACCCAAATGCGGGTTAGTTTTGTCAAAAAATCCTCCAATAAGGCCAAAATGTCTCCCAATACTTACTTGAACCAGGAGTTCCCTTGTCTTCTGGATTGGGTTTAAAACTACAAGGCTACGAAGTTTAACATTGGCAGTTGTGAACTCAAAATTGGGTCGGCTCTTCAACTGCTGTTATAAAATTAAATCAAAGGCATTTTTCATCAATATTGTTATAGAAATTAAAAGTTGCAAGTTTTCATTTGTAGAAAGAGTCATAAAACATGCGTTGGGTGTATCATCTTCCTTCACTATAAAGAAAATTGAATATTTCTAATGCAGGGGTGATTGTGCTCCGGAAAAAAAATCCGGATTTCTCGCTGACCGCAATCCGAAAGTTTCTAGAAATCCTAAGTCCAGAAGTTTCAAGAAATCATCAAACACGTTTATTTATAAAAATTCTTGTATATTTTATTTGAAAATATTAGAACTAGAATTTATGCTTGGTATCTCTTTCATTTGTAAATATTTTTTCTGGTAGAATAATAAATGTGATTAGAGATGAAAGTAAACTTACACATAATTATTCATTTAAATTATGCTGCATATAATTCATTTAGAATATCATGTTTTGAAAATTTCAATGATTTAAATTTATAAAGATATTAATTTTTTGAGTGATTTTACTGAAGAAATTTTCAGGATTTTTGAGTTGGGCCCACATTAACCCTGCTAATGTGTCAAGCTGAAACTTTTTTATGCATTTAGTTTATATGACTTTCTATTTGACCTTCTGAACAGGTTTCCTTGAATAAAGGAAAGGATTTTTTAGTTTTATATTTTTCTTATTTAAGTAAGTTAAGTCATTATTGAAAATTAATCAGAACCTAGCTATGTCATTGGTATGGGGGAAAAGGAAAAAAAATATATAGTAGTTGTCCATAAAAAAAAATTTAAAATAATTAAAAAACTAACAGCACCAGATATATACGTAAAGTTGAAAAAGAAAAATTGAAAAAAAAAACTCTTAATTCATAAATCAAAACTTAGATACTAAAAATAATATTTTCCGGAAAAGAAGTGTCCATAAAGCGCTAAAAAAATATGGTCTACAAATGCTTTTGAATATTTAGTTTTTAGAACTTATCAATTATATGTAAAAACTATTTCTAATAATGCATAGTAAAAAAATACGATTTTAGATTATTCTTTATTAATCTATTCAAATTTGTAAAATGAGAAAGAAAAAAATAACTTTCTAAAACTAATTTTTGAAATAATACTTTGTCGAATATTTGTCCAAACATTCGGCTTACCGAATATTCCGCAAAAGGGCCGAATAGTGATCAAATATTTGTTACTTCCCTTCTTGTAACTTATCATTGCTTAAACTTTTACTATATTATCATTATGATATTAAAGAAAATTAACTTAAGTTCGCCAAAATTTTTTTTTCTAAAACACAAATTTAAAAGCTTATCAATTTTTATGAGATTCAAGTGAAATGATCTTATTTTCATTCAAAAATCAGTAAAGGTGGAACATCTGTTTTTTTTTTTTTTTTTAATTCAAATTTTCATAAAGTGCTATTAAATATCTTAAAGAAAATATAAAATCTATATGTCTGAAATAAATGTTTGTTAAATTTTAATTGTAATAAAATAAAATTTTGTTTATTTTTAAAATCTTTTACTTTTGTCAGGATATGAAGTAATATATTTGTTATATTAGATATAATAATGATCGTAATTTTTAATAATGAATTTTAATTTATACACATATTTTAAACAGGAGTCAACTCCACTATATAATTATATCATTCATGCTATTTATTATTAACTTTCTAGAATTTTTTCATAGAGTTAAGTTATCTGTAGTAGCAAAGATGTTAAAACTGATGTTTCTAATCTTTTATAAATGTATTTTTCAGAGACCTCACAAGGCAACACAAGAAGAAATGACTAAATACCATAGTGATGATTATGTCCGTTTCTTGCGTAGTATCAGGCCGGACAATATGGGTGAATATAACAAACAAATGCAAAGATGTAAGTTAAATATTAATTTTTAAGTAATTTTTATTATGTGTCTCAAGCATTTGTAAAATAATAAGCTAGTTTTAGTTGCTTTTCAAATAAGTTTTGAGCAATTCATTTGTAATCACATTCACTTATTCTTGACGAAGCATTAGAAGATTTTCAAATAATTTTTTTTTTCTTTCTCTTTGTTTCTTCAGAGTGACTATGACACTGCATTGGCTAGGGCAGAGTGCCATATGCTCTCTTTTTAAGAAGTTTTTAATATTTGGAATCTCTCCTTTATAATGCAAAAGCTATTTCAATTCTTGTGATAACTACTTGAGAATTTTTAGTAACATTTTTTAAATCTTTTACAGTCAATGTCGGAGAAGATTGTCCAGTGTTTGATGGACTTTATGAATTTTGCCAACTTTCTACAGGTGGATCTGTTGGTAAGTCTGCCAATATGGCATTTCCCCCCTTATAATAATTAAACTGTTTCACGTCAGAAAGCAGACTTCGTTTTCAACTTTTGTCAAGAAGAAATGAGCTAAATCAATTGTCAACTAAATGCAGTACCAGACAGAAGAAAAGGTGAGATAGTGCTGAAAAAGTGATTCACTACATCATATGAATTGGTTGCGTGAATTCGTTGCATATTGACCATGTGGAATATTGGTTGCTAAAATGTGTTACTTGATATTCAGTTTACGCGCCATTATAATATTGTGCCATTAAAAACATCAGGATTTTTAAAAAAATATCTCTATGAATAACTAATGGAAATATGATCGAAAAACAGTAACATCTTAATCAGGGTGTGTTGTACAGTAGGGAACCGATTATCCGGAACGATCGGGACCATCGCTATTCCGGATAACTGATTTTTCTGGTTTTCTGAATCGCTACAAAAAGCTGTTTTTTTATTGTTAAACCGAATTTTAAAAAAATTTGGAAATAATCTTAAAAAGAAGAAAAAACGATGAAGTAATACACTAATGATTATTTCCAAAAGGATGGTAAGGTAAACATCTTTCAAAAAAAGAAAGAAAAATCTTATGAGGAAAAAAAAAAATTTATTTTTTAAATGGCGGTAAAATTTATCGAATTTCGTTCCGGTTTTTTGGTTTCCAGTTTTCTGATTTCCGGATAACGGGTTCTGTACTGTATTTTTAAAAATTGCTTAATGGTGCTTATTTTTGATTTACGTTTTTTAAAAGCCCTTAAAGATGCTTTTTTTTATTTGGTGTTTGTAAAAAGTGCTTAATTTTTTATCTTTTAGGAAGAGATTTTTTCTTTGCCGCATCGATTGTTGTTCTAAATTATAAAAAATTCATGCTTTTTATAATTTTCTCTGCAATATTTATCAGAAACTAGTTATTTTATCGTGATTATGTAAAGTTTTTGAAAGCGTTTTTGAATTTTATTGAATTTATATTTATAAATTAAGAACTTAAAAAGGATAGAAAAAAATAATTTTTGTTACTGCACAGATCCTAGTTATGGTTTTTTTATTTTTTGGAAAGTGATTAAAAATATTTTTTTTGAGTGCTTAAAATACTTAAAAGGTGCCTATTTTTTGATGAAAAATCTGGCTACACACCCTGTTAATACAATCTGGTTTTTTAAAAAAATTTTAAAAGTCTTATCTAGGTACCACTTTTGAGTACTAGTAATGGTTAAGACTAAAAAAACCACCTAGATTTGTGTTTCAGATTTTTTTTGTTTTTTTGTTTGTTTTTTTCTTTCAAATTTCTGTAAGTTTAAGCTGCCTAAAATCTGTCTTATATCCTCCCAAGCTGTTTAAATTTTAGAGGTTATAATGAATGTTTTTTTACCTTTTGATTTTCATTTAAACTAAAAGATCAGTTATCTTGTCCTTTATAACTTGAACATTTTAATAATCAAAATATTTCTTAGTACAAAAATACTAAATATCTCTTTTTTTTATTTATTCTAAGACTAAATTGCTTTAACTTCTCTAAATATCGAAATTGCACAAATTTCTTGTTTTCATTACTTACATATTTTCTTGTTTTCATTACTTCATATTTTAATGTAAGTTTTAAAATTTTGAAAATTGTTTGCCATGTCAGTCATTCAAACAGATTTTCTTGCATTTTGTAGCTGGTGCTGTTAAATTAAATAAGCAAGCAGCAGAAATTGCAGTTAATTGGGCTGGAGGACTCCATCATGCTAAAAAGTCTGAAGCTTCAGGTTTTTGTTACGTAAATGACATCGTGCTTGCAATTTTGGAACTTCTCAAGTAAGATTTTATTGTGTATTATAACTTGACTTATTGGACCTATACATCATAACTGCAATTGTTGCAATTTTTATCTCGTTTAATTAATTGTAAGAAATATTATAATTTCAAAATATCATTAATCCAAGTCTATACTTAAACTGTTAACTCTTTTATCCTCAGTAAAATATAAAAGTCTTTATTTTTAAAAATTTATGTCTAAACTATTTTCTTAATCTTAGCTATAAATTTATCTTAGAAGTAGAACTGGGTAATGCATTGAAAAATATGTGTTATGCAATCATTGGTAATCTGATCTGATAGGTGTGTTTTTTGAAGTACTGGAAATTACAATCTACCCACAATGTGTACGATGTTTCCCGATGCGTCATAGACATCGTCTGCACACACATTGAAGAGCATTGTTATCAATAGTTCATTGATCCTCCCAATCAGACATTAATGATCGCAGGCTCAGGCAAAAAGAATTTCCTCCAATCATTAGTGAACGATGATTTCCATGGCGATTATCTTTATCTTTTCCAATGTAATTATTTATTATTGAGAATCAAAGTGTTGTTGAATCCCTCATTTTTCGAAATGTGCTTTCTTTTAATTGTGAAAATCCCTTCATGTTAATTTTTTTTAAAATCAATCCAGCCAATTATCATTTTTTAACCAGTCTGTTGCTGCCATCCATGTCTTTAATTATAGAGAAATAATCATTGTTAAAAATCATTAAAACTGCAATGTATATTTTAAAAAATGCATAAGTTTTTAATATATTTTTAATCAATGATTTGTTTTACTTTTTAATGCATTCTTTTCTTAATAAATATTGATAGTAATGTACTAAATTTACTGTGAGGGGAGTGACTTGTAAGATACATGTGCCTTTAGGTGTCAGCTGTTCTTTAGCTTTAAATCTTTTCTGCAATCCATCAGCTAAGTTTTTTATTCTACTGTTTATAAAGATTTTTATAAATGCATTTTAATATTGATTTAACTGCTAATATAAAGACATAGTCTACAATGCGCTATTTTTCGTCACACAAGCCCTATCTGTGCAGATTATTTTACTTTTTTTTTAAATTTTCAATATATTATGTTACTGATGTGATTTATTAATTTTTTTAAAGATAAATACAATTTATTTTTAGTGAGTAGACAAATCTAAAGTATTTTTGACATTTTTTGTTGTTAGGTAACTGAAGATTGAGTTATTTCAAGAATGTTATTGTCGTAATTAATCAATTAATATCAATCAAAAAGTGCACAAATTCAAAATTTCACAATACCAAATGTAAAACATTAATGTAATAAGTCATTGCAATATTATTGTGACAATACATCACCTAGTCCTATTGATTGATTTTGCTTATAAACTAAGTAAAAAAGTAATTTTTTTGCACCAAGCTTTTTTTTAATAGTGCTTTATATATATTTAGATATCACCAGAGAGTCCTTTACATTGATATTGACATTCATCATGGAGATGGTGTTGAAGAGGCTTTCTATACAACAGATAGAGTCATGACCTGTTCATTTCATAAGTATGGAGAATATTTTCCTGGAACTGGAGATTTAAGAGTAAGTTTGTTAAGATGCATAGTATATATTTAGACAATTACTCAATAAGATCAACCAAATGACAAAGGAAATTTTAAAATATTTTTTTTAACAAACAAGGTGTTGTTATTTTAAAGGTAAAAAGTTAAAGATTTAGAAATATTATCTCTAAATCTTTTAACTTTACAGCAGCAATATTACTATGAAATTTTGGGAATTATGGGCTACATTATATAAAATTCTTAATCATATTTAGGTAACTGTCAAAGAAAATTTTTTTTTAAATTTAATTTAATTTAAGCAAATAATTATTGCATTGCACTGTATAAAGACAGGTCATGTTGTAAAAGCATTACTACACATTGTGATTTTTACAAGAATTTTGATGGATGCACTACAGATATTTTACACCTGACTACAAATTGTACAATTATTTGTAATGAGCAAATAAAATTGTGAGTTATAAAAAATTAAATTTTCTTTTTAAACCAAAATTTTCTTGCTTATTGGTATAATCTATTTAAATTTTGTAGATTTTGAATAGGGTCAGTAGGTACATAGGATAAAGTGAGTAGTTGAAATGTAAAAAAATATCTATTTTCTCCTTTTATGTTGAGATATTTATTTAATATTTTTAGCAACATTTACTGGGATTGTGACTAGAACTTTTATTTCGGTTCTATAAACTGATGAAACAAATTTACTAACTTCATGATTCAACCTATAAAGTATGTTAGTTCAAGCTGTTGATGAACTTTCTTCTAATATCACTAAAAATTGACAAAAGCTATTAATTTTAGTTCAAACTGGTAGAGGGACCTAAAGATCAGATCTGCAGAGAAATTTTAAGAATAAATTTCAAAATTCTATAAATTATGAATTGGTAAAATGAGTATATGGTTAGGCTTAGCCACAAGTTGTATAATATGCATATTTTCTTTTACTTCTGGGTAAGCTTTAATAAATATTTAAAGCTGTATATTTTGATATGAAATAACTAAAAATTAATTTACCTGTTTAATTAGAGCCCTGCATAGTAAATTTTATTTTTTATTCTATACAATTAAAAGAATTACCAAAATAGATACAACTTAATGGGCATATTTAAAGGTATATAGGAGTTTTCACGCAAGTTTCTACCTTCATGTGGCAGTTTTTTCATGGAAAACAAAAAAATTTCCTTAAAGTAACTTAACTCAAGAAAAATACATATCTGCTATAAATAGTAAAAACACTATAGGTTTTAAGTTTTACACTCTCATTTATATTTCAAATAAACCAAAAACTATTATACTTTTCTTGCTTTTTGATGAAATTGTGTTGTGTTCAGCAAAACATTCTGCACATGAACTAAATATCCATAGTATATGTATGGTAAGTTTGATGGCTATGAACATTAACTCTAATTTAATAATACGAAGTAGGAAAAAAAAAATTTAACATTTTTTTTTTTTAAATATAATCATACATTAATCTAAGACCATTTTTATTTCTAAAACAATATTTGTATATGTTTTTTAGTAAAATGTATGCTAATTTTAGAACTGTGCCCACTTTACCAAGGTAAAATGGGTATATCAAAACATGTTCTTTTTAATGTGTTACCGTAAATCCAATGTTTATAAAATGCACAAAAAATTTCAGTAAAATTAATTTAATGTTTCGGTTTTAGAGCTAAAATAAACTTGATTTTATACCCACTTTATCGACCTGATCTTATAATAAAATAGATTATTAATTTTTTTTAGGTTTGAAACCAAAATATCTTTCATATTTAAATTAATTTTCACCAATTTTCCTCATTATTACTTATAAATCTAATATATATAATTCTCTTACGTGGCTCCCAAATTTTGCCTGTATTTTTTTTCCGCCGGTGGCAATGTTTGCTTTGTTTTGCTTACGTTACTATTTCTCTTACGCGCGACGAAAAAAAACGCATTTCAACTCCCCGAATGACAACGCTAGAAGATCTACCAATGATTGCCGCTAAAAATTTCACATGCCAAATCTAGCTGAGATGGCTCAACATATAGCGCTTTTAAAAACGGAAACTGAAATAACCAGAGAGCATCAGCTGCGGCAATCTCATACTATTAAGCTAGGCAGAAGTGAGTAGTCTTTGTCGATAGATTTCTAGTTCAGTATTTTGTCGAAAGCGCTTTTTTTTCACGAATTTATATATTAGGAATTTATTTGACGATTTTTGATTTATATCACGAATT